TGGTGGCCATGGTTGGGTGATGGTGGCCATGGTTGGGTGATGGTGGCCATGGATGGGTGACATTGGCCATGGTTGGGTGATGGTGACCATGGATGGGTGATGGTGGCCATGGTTGGGTGATGGTGGCCATGGCTGGGTGATGATGGCCATGGTTGGGTGATGGTGACCATGGATGGGTGATGGTGGCCATGGTTGGGTGATGGTGGCCATGGATGGGTGATGGTGGCCATGGATGGGTGATGGTGGCCATGGATGGGTGATGGTGGCCATGGATGGGTGATGGTGGCCATGGTTGGGTGATGGTGGCCATGGTTGGGTGATGGTGACCATGGGTGGGTGATGGTGGCCATGGTTGGGTGACATTGGCCATGGTTGGGTGATGGTGGCCATGGATGGGTGACATTGGCCATGGTTGGGTGATGGTGGCCATGGTTGGGTGATGGTGGCCATGGATGGGTGACATTGGCCATGGATGGGTGATGGTGGCCATGGATGGGTGACATTGGCCATGGTTGGGTGATGGTGGCCGTGGATGGGTGATGGTGGCCATGGTTGGGTGATGGTGGCCATGGATGGGTCATGGTGGCCATGGCTGGGTTCTGGTGGCCATGGATGGGTGATGGTGGCCGTGGTTGGGTGATGGTGGCCATGGTTGGGTGATGGTGGCCATGGATGGGTGATGGTGGCCATGGTTGGGTGATGGTGGCCGTGGTTGGGTGATGGTGGCCATGGGTGGGTGATGGTGGCCATGGATGGGTGATGGTGGCCATGGATGGGTGACATTGGCCATGGTTGGGTGATGGTGGCCATGGTTGGGTGATGGTGGCCATGGATGGGTGACATTGGCCATGGATGGGTGATGGTGGCCATGGTTGGGTGATGGTGGCCATGGATGGGTGATGGTGGCCATGGTTGGGTGATGGTGGCCATGGTTGGGTGACATTGGCCATGGATGGGTGATGGTGGCCATGGTTGGGTGATGGTGGCCATGGATGGGTGATGGTGGCCATGGTTGGGTGATGGTGGCCATGGATGGGTGACATTGGCCATGGTTGGGTGATGGTGGCCGTGGTTGGGTCATGGTGGCCATGGTTGGGTGATGGTGGCCATGGTTGGGTGATGGTGGCCGTGGTTGGGTGATGGTGGCCGTGGTTGGGTGACATTGGCCGTGGATGGGTGACATTGGCCGTGGATGGGTGACATTGGCCGTGGATGGGTGATGGTGGCCATGGATGGGTCATGGTGGCCATGGTTGGGTGATGGTGGCCGTGGTTGGGTGACATTGGCCGTGGATGGGTGACATTGGCCATGGATGGGTGACATTGGCCATGGGTGGGTGATGGTGGCCGTGGATGGGTGATGGTGGCCGTGGTTGGGTGATGGTGGCCATGGATGGGTGACATTGGCCATGGATGGGTGATGGTGGCCATGGATGGGTGATGGTGGCCATGGATGGGTGATGGTGGCCATGGATGGGTGATGGTGGCCATGGATGGGTGATGGTGGCCATGGTTGGGTGATGGTGGCCATGGGTGGGTGATGGTGGCCATGGTTGGGTCATGGTGGCCATGGATGGGTGATGGTGGCCATGGTTGGGTGATGGTGGCCATGGATGGGTGATGGTGGCCATGGGTGGGTGATGGTGGCCGTGGTTGGGTGACATTGGCCATGGATGGGTGATGGTGGCCGTGGATGGGTGATGGTGGCCATGGCTGGGTCATGGTGGCCATGGGTGGGTGATGGTGGCCATGGATGGGTGATGGTGGCCATGGCTGGGTGATGGTGGCCATGGGTGGGTGATGGTGGCCATGGCTGGGTGATGGTGGCCATGGGTGGGTGATGGTGGCCATGGTTGGGTGATGGTGGCCATGGATGGGTGATGGTGGCCATGGATGGGTGATGGTGGCCGTGGATGGGTGATGGTGGCCATGGATGGGTGATGGTGGCCATGGTTGGGTGATGGTGGCCATGGATGGGTGATGGTGGCCATGGATGGGTGATGGTGGCCATGGTTGGGTGATGGTGGCCATGGGTGGGTGATGGTGGCCATGGTTGGGTGACATTGGCCATGGATGGGTGATGGTGGCCATGGATGGGTGATGGTGGCCATGGATGGGTGATGGTGGCCATGGATGGGTGATGGTGGCCATGGGTGGGTGATGGTGGCCATGGTTGGGTGATGGTGGCCATGGTTGGGTGATGGTGGCCATGGATGGGTCATGGTGGCCATGGGTGGGTGATGGTGGCCATGGTTGGGTGATGGTGGCCATGGTTGGGTGATGGTGGCCATGGATGGGTGATGGTGGCCGTGGTTGGGTGATGGTGGCCATGGTTGGGTGATGGTGGCCATGGTTGGGTGATGGTGGCCATGGTTGGGTGATGGTGGCCATGGTTGGGTTTCGGTGGCCGTGGTTGGGTGATGGTGGCCATGGTTGGGTTTCGGTGGCCGTGGTTGGGTGATGGTGGCCATGGATGGGTGATGGTGGCCATGGATGGGTGATGGTGGCCATGGTTGGGTGATGGTGGCCATGGTTGGGTGATGGTGGCCATGGTTGGGTGATGGTGGCCATGGATGGGTGATGGTGGCCATGGTTAGATCATGGTGGCCATGGATGGGTGATGGTGGCCGTGGTTGGGTGATGGTGGCCATGGATGGGTGATGGTGGCCATGGATGGGTGATGGTGGCCATGGATGGGTGATGGTGGCCATGGATGGGTGATGGTGGCCATGGATGGGTGATGGTGGCCATGGATGGGTGACATTGGCCATGGATGGGTGATGGTGGCCATGGATGGGTGATGGTGGCCATGGATGGGTGACATTGGCCATGGATGGGTGATGGTGGCCGTGGTTGGGTGACATTGGCCATGGATGGGTGATGGTGGCCGTGGTTTGGTGCAAAACCAAAACCAAACCCAAAACTCTTCAAAAATCCTTTTAATTCTCACTTTCAGTCACCCATTCCCAGTTCTCCCAGTTCTCCCAGTGCTCCCATTATGCCCAGTAGGTGCCAGCCCTGTCCATGCCCGGTAGCGGTGGTTGAGCCGCGGGTGCCCGTGCAGCCCGTAGCGGGTGCCCAATGTCCATCAATGTCCATCAATGTCCCATCAATGTCCATCAATGTCCCACCAACGTCCCCAGTCACCCATTCCCAGTTCTCCCAGTTCTCCCAGTGCTCCCAGTTCTCCCAGTGCCCCCAGTCCCCAGTTCCCAGACCCGGTAGCGGTGGTTGAGGCGCGGGTGCCCGTGCAGCCCGTAGGGGGTGCCCAATGTCCATCAATGTCCCATCAATGTCCATCAATGTCCCACCAACATCTCAAATCACCCATTCCCAGTTCTCCCAGTGCTCCCAGTTCTCCCAGTTCTCCCAGTTCCCCCAGTTCCCAGTTCCCAGACCCGGTAGCGGTGGTTGAGGTGCGGGTGCCCATGCCCAATGTCCATCAATGTCCCATCAATGTCCCATCAATGTCCCATCAATGTCCATCAATGTCCATCAATGTCCCACCAATGTCCCAAATCACCCATTCCCAGTTCTCCCAGTGCTCCCAGTTCTCCCAGTTCTCCCAGTCCCCATCTCCCAGACCCGGTAGCGGTGGTTGAGCCGCGGGTGCCTGTGCAGCCCGTAGCGGGTGCCCAGTGTCCCACCGATGTCCATCAATGTCCATCAATGTCCCACCAACGTCCCCAATCACCCATTCCCAGTTCTCCCAGTTCTCCCAGTTCTCCCAGTGCCCATCCCAGTGCTCCCAGTGCTCCCAGTCCCCAGTTCCCAGACCCGGTAGTGGTGGTTGAGCCGCGGGTGCCCGTGCCGACCATGGCACACACCCAATGTCCATCAATGTCCATCAATGTCCCCAATCACCCATTCCCAGTGCTCCCAGCAACCCAAATCACCCATTCCCAGTTCTCCCAGTTCTCCCAGTGCTCCCAGTTCTCCCAGTTCTCCCAGTTCCCAGTTCCCACACCCGGTAGCGGTGGTTGAGGCGCGGGTGCCCGTGCCCAATGTCCCACCAATGTCCCCAATCACCCATTCCCAGTTCTCCCAGTGCTCCCAGTTCTCCCAGTGCCCCCGGTGCCCATCCCAGTGCCAGCCATGGCACACGCCCAATGTCCCCAATGTCCATCAATGTCCATCAATGTCCATCAATGTCCCACCAATGTCCCCAATCACCCATTCCCAGTTCTCCCAGTTCCCCCAGTTCTCCCAGTTCTCCCAGTTCTCCCAGTTCCCATCTCCCAGACCCGGTAGCGGTGGTTGAGCCGCGGGTGCCCGTGCCGACCATGGCACACACCCAATGTCCATCAATGTCCCACCAATGTCCCACCAATGTCCCACCAATGTCCCCAATCACCCATTCCCAGTGCTCCCAGTATCTCAAATCACCCATTCCCAGTTCTCCCAGTGCTCCCAGTGCTCCCAGTACCCATGTGCCATACCCGGTAGCGGTGGTTGAGCCGCGGGTGCCCATGCCCAGTGTCCCCAATGTCCCATCAATGTCCATCAATGTCCCACCAACGTCCCCAATCACCCATTCCCAGTTCTCCCAGTACCCCAAATCACCCATTCCCAGTTCTCCCAGTGCTCCCAGTTCTCCCAGTTCCCCCAGTCCCCATCTCCCAGGCCCGGTAGCGGTGGTTGAGGCGCGGGTGCCCGTGCAGCCCGTAGCGGGTGCCCGTGCCCGGTGTCCCCAGTGTCCCATCAATGTCCATCAATGTCCCACCAATGTCCCCAATCACCCATTCCCAGTGCTCCCAGTTCTCCCAGTGCCCCCAGTGCCCATCCCAGTGCTCCCAGTGCTCCCAATGCCCATGTCCCATGCCCGGTAGAGCCGTGGGTGCCCATGCCGGCCATGGCATGTCCACCAATGTCCACCAATGTCCATCAATGTCCATCAATGTCCCACCAACGTCCCCAATCACCCATTCCCAGTGCTCCCAGTTCTCCCAGTGCCCATCCCAGTTCTCCCAGTACTCCCAGTGCCCATCCCAGTACTCCCAGTGCTCCCAGTGCTCCCAGTGCCCATCCCAGTTCTCCCAGTTCCCCCAGTCCCCAGTTCCCAGGCCCGGTAGCGGTGGTTGAGGCGCGGGTGCCCGTGCAGCCCGTAGCGGGTGCCCAATGTCCCACCAATGTCCCACCAATGTCCATCAATGTCCCACCAACGTCCCAATCACCCATTCCCAGTGCTCCCAGTTCTCCCAGTGCCCATCCCAGTGCTCCCAGTTCTCCCAGTGCCCATCCCAGTCCTCCCAGTGCCCATCCCAGTGCCAACCATGGCACACACCCAATGTCCCACCAATGTCCATCAATGTCCCATCAATGTCCCACCAACGTCCCCAATCACCCATTCCCAGTTCTCCCAGTTCTCCCAGTGCCCATCCCAGTTCTCCCAGTGCTCCCAGTTCCCCCAGTGCCCATCTCCCAGACCCGGTAGCGGTGGTTGAGGCGCGGGTGCCCGTGCAGCCCGTAGCGGGTGCCCAATGTCCCACCAATGTCCCCAATTACCCATTCCCAGTTCTCCCAGTATCCCCAATCACCCATTCCCAGTGCTCCCAGTTCTCCCAGTGCCCATCCCAGTTCTCCCAGTTCCCCCAGTGCCCATCTCCCAGGCCCGGTAGCGGTGGTTGAGGCGCGGGTGCCCGTGCAGCCCGTAGCGGGTGCCCAATGTCCATCAATGTCCCATCAATGTCCATCAATGTCCCACCAACATCTCAAATCACCCATTCCCAGTTCTCCCAGTGCCCATCCCAGTTCTCCCAGTTCCCCCAGTGCCCATCTCCCAGGCCCGGTAGCGGTGGTTGAGGCGCGGGTGCCCGTGCCCGGTGTCCCCAATGTCCCACCAATGTCCATCAATGTCCATCAATGTCCCACCAACGTCCCAATCACCCATTCCCAGTTCTCCCAGTTCTCCCAGTTCCCCCAGTGCCCATCTCCCAGGCCCGGTAGCGGTGGTTGAGCCACGGGTGCCCGTGCCCAATGTCCCATCAATGTCCATCAATGTCCCACCAATGTCCCCAATCACCCATTCCCAGTTCTCCCAGTTCTCCCAGTGCTCCCAGTACTCCCAGTGCTCCCAGTTCCCAGTTCCCACACCCGGTAGCGGTGGTTGAGGCGCGGGTGCCCGTGCAGCCCGTAGCGGGTGCCCAGCGCTCCCTGGGCGCTGGCGCGGCCGTAGAAGACGCGGCGCACGCGGGCGTGGAGCAGCGCCATGGCGCAGAGCGCGCACGGCTCCCGCGTCACGAACACGTCGCAGCCCAACAGAAGGTACCCCTCGTTGTCACCGTTGTCACCGTTGTCACCGTTGTCACCAGGGGTGGCATCGTGGCACTCGGCCACCCCCGGGATGACGTAACCCGTCAGGTCCACCGGGACGTCGCCCAGCGCCAGGAGGTCCAGGGGGACGCCGTGGATGGTGGCCATGGGGACGTCGTTGGTGGCATCAGGGGTGGCATTGGGTTCCTTGGTCACTCCTGGGTCCATGTGACCCATCAGGTCCGTGGGGATTTTGGCCATGGTGACATCAGAGATGGCATTGAGGTCCTCGGTCATTCTTGGCATGATGTGACCCATCAGGTCCATAGTGACATCATTGGTGGCATCAGAGGTGGCATTGGGCTCCTCGGTCACTCCTGGGTCCGTTTGACCCCTCAGGTCCATGGTGACATCAGAGGTGGCATCAGGGGTGGCATCGAGGTCCTTGGTCACTCCTGGGTCCATGTGACCCTTCAGGTCCATGGGGATGTTGGCCATGGTGACATCATTGGTGGCACCAGGGATGGCATCGCGGCACTCGGCCGCCCCCGGGATGACGTAACCCGTCAGGTCCAGCGGGACGTCGCCCAGCGCCAGCAGGTCCAGGGGGACGCCGTGGATGGTGGCCGTGGGGACGTCGTTGGTGGCATCAGAGGTGGCATTGGGTTCCTCAGTCACTCTTGGGTCCTTGTGACCCTTCAGGTCCATGGGGATGTCACCGAGGGCCACCAGGTCCATGGGGCCATCGTTGGTGGCACCAGAGGTGGCATCAGAGGTGGCATTGGGGTCCTCAGTCATTCCTGGGTCCATGGGGATGTTGGCCATGGGGACGTGGTTGGTGGCATCAGGGGTGGCATTGGGTTCCTCGGTCACTCCTGGGTCCATGTGACCCCTCAGGTCCATGGGGATGTCACCAAAGGCCACCAGGTCCATGGGGACGCCGTGGATGGTGGTGGTGACATCATTGGTGGCACCAGAGGTGGCATCAAGGGTGGCATTGGGTTCCTCGGTCACTCCTGGGTCCGTGTCACCCCTGAGGTCCATGGGGATTTTGGCCATGGTGACATCATTGGTGGCACCAGAGGTGGCATCAGGGGTGGCATTGGGTTCCTCGGTCACTCCTGGCATGATGTAACCCCTCAGCTCCATGGGGATGTCACCGAGGGCCACCAAGTCCATGGGAATGTTGGCCATGGTGACATCATTGGTGGCACCAGAGGTGGCATTGGGTTCCTCGGTCACTCCTGGCATGTGACCTCTCAGGTCCACGGTGACGTCACCGATGCCGCAGTCGGTGATGACGTCACCGGTGTCCCCAGGGTCGCTGTCACCCGCGGTGACGTCACGGTGGCCGGCGATGACGTCATCAGAGCTGACCTTGGCCACCTTGGCCCCGACGCCGCCGTCCCCTCCCCCGGGGTGTCCCCTGCGCCGCGCCGTGACGGTGTCACCTCGTCCTTGGTGACACCGTGGTGTCCCCACGCTGTCCCCGATGTCACCGCGCCCTTGGTGACACCGCGGTGTCCCGGTGCTGTCCCTGATGTCACCTTGTCCTTGGTGACACCACGGTGTCCTCGTGCTGTCCCCGAAGTCACCTTGTCCTTGGTGACACCGCAGGTTCCCGGTGCTGTCCCCGGTGTCACCGCGTCCTTGGTGACACCGCGGTGTCCCCACGGTGTCCGTGATGTCACCTCGTCCTTGGTGACACCGTGCTGTCCTCATGCTGTCCCCAGTGCCATGGTCACCATGACATTGGTGACACCGCGCCACTGCAGTGCTGTCCCTGATGTCCCCACACCCTTGGTGGCCACTTTTTGATGTCCTCGTGCCATCCCTGATGTCACCTTGTCCTTGGTGGCCACTTTTTGGTGTCCCTGCACCGTCTCCTTGGTGGCCACACTCTGATGTCCCCGTGCCATCCCTGATGTCCGCTTGGTGGCCACTTTTAGGTGTCCCCACACTGTCCTTGATGTCCCCTGGTCCTTGGTGGCCACTTTTTGGTGTCCCCAACCTGTCCCTGATGTCCCCTGGTCCTTGGTGGCCACTTTTTGATGTCCCCACGCCATCCCTGATGTCCCTTTGGTGGCCACATCGTGCTGTCCCCATGGTGTCCCCTGGTCCTTGGTGGCCACTCTCTGATGTCCCCATGCCACCCCTGATGTCCCCTGGTTCTTGGTGGCCACTTTTTGATGTCCCCACACTGTCCTTGATGTCCCCACACCCATGGTGGCCACTTTTTGATGTCCTCACGGTGTCCCCTCGGTGTCCACACCGCGCCCGCGCCGCGCGTGCGATGCAGTCCATGGCGGCGTGCCGCAGCGGGTGCCACCCGCCGTCCCCACCCATGTCCCCAATGTCCCCGTTGGTGTCCCCACCGTCCCCACGCCGGTCCCACCCCACGGCCACCACCCGCCCGCTGCGCGGCTCCACCGCCGCCGCCCCCGCCGCCCTCCCGGCGCCCGCGGCGCGTGCCACCGCCATGGCCACGCGTGCCACCGCCACCTCCCGCGGTGACAGCGCCGGTGGCACCGACCGCGGCACCCCACGGCCCCGCCACGGCCACAGCCCCGCCCGGCGCGCCGCCGACGCCTCCGCGCCCGGTGCCGGCACGCGGCCCGGCAGGAGCACCGGGAATGGGGGGCCCAGAGCCGGGTCTGATGGTAACGGTGCCGAAACCGACGGTAACGGCACCGAAACTGTGCCCGGTGCCGGCACGCGGCCCGGCAGGAGCACCGGGAATGGGGGGCCCAGAGCCGGGTCTGACGGTAACGGCACCGAAACCGACGGTAACGGCACCGAAACCGCGCCCGGTGCCGGCACACGGCCCGGCAGGAGCACCGGGAACGGGGGGCCCAGCGCCGGGTCTGACGGTACCGAAACCGCGCCCGGCGCCGGCACGCGGCCCGGCAGGAGAACCGGGAACGGGGGGCCCAGAGCCGGGTCTGATGGGGACGGCGCCGATGGCATTGATGGTGCCGATACTGACGGCAATGACGCCGAAACTGCACCTGGAACCGACACCGATGGCACCGACACCGGCACCGAAACTGCGCCCGGTGCCGGCACGCGGCCCGGCAGGAGAACTGGGAACGGGGGGCCCAGAGCCGGGTCGGATGGGGATGGCACCGATGGCATCGATGGCGCCGATACCGACGGTAACGACACCGAAACTGCACCCGGAACCGACACCGATGGCACCAACACCGACGGCATCAACGCTGACGGCATCGATGCCGAAACTGCGCCCGGAACCAACGCCAACGGCGCCGATCCCAACACTGACGTTGTGCCCGGCACCGACATCGACGGCACCGACACCGACACCGATGGCGCCGACACCGACGCCGACACCACGTCTGGAACCGACACCGATGGCACCGACACTGATGCCACACCCGGCCCCGATGGCACCGACAACGACGGCACCGACACCGACAGCAGCGACGCCGAAACTGACACCGATGGCACCGACATCGATGGCATCGACACCGATGGCGCCGACACTGAAACCGCGCCTGGAACCGACACTGATGGCACCGACACCAATGGCATCGACACCGAAACCGCGCCCGGAACCGACACCGATGGCGCTGACACCGACGCTGAAACCGCACCCGGAACCGACACAGACGGCAACGACACCGATGCCGAAACCGTGTCTGGAACCGACACCAATGGCGCCAACACTGACAGCATCGACGCTGACGGTAACGATGCCAAAACTGCGCCCGGAACCGACACTGATGGCGTCGACACCGACGCCGAAACCGTGCCCGGAACCGACACCGATGGCACCGACACTGATGCCACACCCGGCCCCGATGGCACCGACAACGACGGCACCAACACCGACGGCAACGACGCCGAAACCGCGCCTGGAACCGACACCGATGGCACCAATGCCGTGCCTGGCAGTGCTGAGCAACTGGGGGAACTGGTCATACTGGGAGCACTGGGAGCAGTCACACTGGGAGCACTGGTCATACTGGGAGCAGTCAGATTGGGAACACTGGTTATACTGGTCATACTGGGAGAAGTCAGACTGGTCATACTGGGAGCAATGGGAGGAGTCAGGCTGGGGGTACTGGTTATACTGGGAGGAATCAGGCTGGGAGCACTGGTCATACTGGTCATACTGGGAGCAGTCAGACTGGGAGCACTGGTCATACTGGGAGCAGTCAGACTGGGAGCACTGGTCATACTGGGAGAAGTCATACTGGTCACACTGGGAGCAGTCAGACTGGTCATACTGGGAGCACTGGGAACAGTCAGGCTGGTGGCACTGGGGGCACTGGTCATACTGGGAGCACTGGGAGGAGTCATACTGGGGGCACTGGTTATACTGGGAGCACTGGGAGGAGTCATACTGGGGGCACTGGTTATACTGGGAGCAGTTAGACTGGGAGCACTGGGAGCAGTCAGACTGGGGGCACTGGTTATACTGGGAGCAGTTAGACTGGGACCACTGGTCATACTGGTGGCACTGGTCATACTGGTCCAACTGGAGCCCTCGGTGTCCCCGCTCAGGCGGCTGCCACTGGTCTTACTGGTGTTACTGGTGTTACTGGTTATACTGGTGCCACTGGTGTTACTGGTGCCACTGGTGCCACTGGTGTTACTGGTGTTACTGGTCTTACTGGTCCCAGTTCCGGCCCCGGGGGTGGCGGTGACGTAATCGGTGACGTAATCGGTGACGTCATCAGTGACGTCATCGGCGATGATGTAATCGATGGGGGCGGCGTCATCTGTGCGAGACCAGTGATCCCAGTAAGGGCTCCCAGTGCTCCCACTAACTCCCAGTAAAGGCTCCCAGTCCATCCCAGTCCCTCCCAGTATATCCCAGTCCCCCCCAGTCCCTCCCAGTATATCCCAGTTCCCTCCCACTTTATCCCGGTCCATCCTAATCCCCTCCCAGTCTATCCCAATCCTCTCCCAGTCTATCCCAGTCCATCCCAGTATAACCCAATCCCCTCCCAATCCCCTCCCAGTTCCCTCCCAGTCCCTCCCAGTCCCCCCAATCCCCTCCGAGTCTATCCCAGTATATCCCAGTTCCCTCCCAGTATATCCCAGTCCCTCCCAGTATAAACCAGTAACCCCAAATCTCCTTTTTAACCCATCCCAGTCCCTCCCAGTATAACCCAATCCCCTCCCAGTCCCTCCCAATCCCCTCCCAGTATATCCCAGAGTATCCCAGTCCATTCCAGTGCCCTCCCAGTCCCCTCCCAATCCCCCCCAATCCCCTCCCAGTTCCCTCCCAGTTCCCTCCCAGTCCCCCCCAGTCCCCCCCAGTCCCCTCCCAATCCCCTCCCAGTCCCTCCCAGTATATCCCACTTCCCTCCCAGTCCCTCCCAGTCCCTCCCAGTCTATCCCAATCCCCTCCCAGTCCCTCCCAGTCTATCCCAGTCCCTCCCAGTCCCTCCCAGTCCCTCCCAATCCCCTCCCAATACCTTCCCAGTACCTCCCAGTCCCTCCCAGTCTATCCCAGTCCCTCCCAGTCCCTCCCAATCTCCTCCCAGTCCCCCCCAATCCCCTCTCAGTCCCCTCCCAGTATATCCCAGTCCCCCCCAGTCCCTCCCAGTCCCCCCCAATCCCCTCCCAGTATATCCCAGTCCCTCCCAGTCTATCCCAATCCCCTCCCAGTATATCCCAGTATATCCCAGTCCCCCCCAATCCCCTCCCAACCCCTCCCAGTCTATCCCAGTATATCCCAGTCCCCCCCAATCCCCTCCCAGTCCCTCCCAGTTCCCCCCAATCCCTCCCAATCCCCTCCCAGTCCCCCCCAGTCCCTCCCAGTCCCTCCCAGTATATCCCAGTCCCCTCCCAGTATATCCCAGTCCCTCCCAGTCTATCCCAGTCCCCCCCAGTCCCCTCCCAGTCCCCCCCAATCCCCTCCCAGTCCCTCCCAGCCCTCCCAGTCCCTCCCAGTGCCCTCCCAGTCCCTCCCACTCTATCCCAGTGCCCTCCCAGTTCCCTCCCAGTCTATCCCAGTCCCTCCCAGTCCCTCCCAGTATATCCCAGTCCCCCCAATCCCCTCCCAGTTCCCTCCCAATCCCCCCCAGTCCCTCCCAGTCCATCCCAGTCCCTCCCAGTCCCCCCCAATCCCCTCCCAGTCCCTCCCAGTCCCTCCCAGTTCCCTCCCAGTCCCTCCCAGTCCCTCCCAGTCCCCTCCCAGTCTATCCCAGTCCCCCCCAATCCCCTCCCAGTCCCTCCCAGTCCCTCCCAGTATAAACCAGTAACCCCAAATCTCTTTTTTAACCCCTCCCAGTCCCCCCCAATCCCCTCCCAGTCTGTCCCAATCCCCTCCCAATCCCTCCCAGTATATCCCAGTCCATTCCAGTGCCCTTCCAGTCCCTCCCAGTTCCCTCCCAGTCCCTCCCAGTCCATCCCAGTCCCCTCCCAGTCCCCACCCAGTCCCTCCCAGTATATCCCAGTCCCTCCCAGTCCCCCCCAATCCCCCCCCAATCCCTTCCCAGTCCCTCCCAGTATATCCCAGTCCCTCCCAGTCCCCCCCAATCCCCTCCCAGTCCCTCCCAATCCCCACCCAGTCTATCCCAGTATATCCCAATCCCCACCCAATCCCCTCCCAGTCCCTCCCAGTCCATCCCAATCCCCTCCCAGTCCCACCCAGTCCCTCCCAGTTCCCTCCCAGTCCCTCCCAGTCTACCCCAGTCCCTCCCAGTTCCCTCCCAGTCCCTCCCAGTTCCCTCCCAGTCCCTCCCAGTCCCTCCCAGTTCCCTCCCAGTCTACCCCAGTCCCTCCCAGTTCCCTCCCAGTCCCTCCCAGTCCCTCCCAGTTCCCTCCCAGTCCCTCCCAGTCCCTCCCAGTATAACCCAATCCCCTCCCAGTCCCTCCCAGTCCCCCCCAATCCCCTCCCAGTCCCTCCCAGTATAAACCAGTAATCCCAAAACTCCTTTTTAACCCATCCCAGTCCCCCCCAGTCCCTCCCAGTTCCCTCCCAGTCTATTCCAGTATATCCCAGTCCCCTCCCAGTCCCTCCCAGTATAACCCAATCCCATCCCAGTCCCCCCCAATCCCCCCCAGTCCCTCCCAGTCCCTCCCAGTCCCCTCCCAGTCCCTCCCAGTCCCTCCCAGTCCATCCCAGTACCGTGGGCGGGGCCCAGCAGCAGCTCCGCCCCCCCGGGCCCCGCCCGGACCCTCCGCAGGTGCCGCAGGGGCGGGGGGAGGGGCGGCAGCTCCCGGAACAGCCGCGGGGTCTCCCGGGGACGCAGCAGGGGCGCCGCCCACCCGCCAATCACCGGCAGGCCCCGCCCCCGCCCCTCCCCCCACCACGGCACGGCGCGCGGCGGGGGCGGGGCCGGGCCGGGACACGCCCCCTCGGCCATGGGCGGGGCCTGCGGGGACAGGGGGCGGGGTTTAGCCAGGGGCGGGGCCGAGCCGGGACACGCCCCCTCGGCCATGGGCGGGGCCTGCGGGAGAGGGGCGGGGCTTAGACAGGGGGCGGGGCCGGGCCGGGACACGCCCCCTCCGCCATGGGCGGGGCTTAGTCAGGGGTGGGGCCTGTGGGAAGAGGGGCGGGGCTTAGTCAGGGGGCGGGGTTTAAAGCGGTGGGGGAGGGGCTAAAAGGGGTGGGGGAGGGGCTTAAAGGGGTAAGGGAGGGGTGACCCCCCCCAAAACCCCCCAGTGCTCCCAGTTTGTGACCCCAGTGACCCCTCCCAGTAACTCCCAGTCAATCCCAGTCCGTCCCAGTAACTCCCAGTCCGTCCCAGTTTCATCCCAATCCCTCCCAGTATAACCCAGTTCCCTCCCAGTATCCCCCAGTACCTCCCAGTCCATCCCAGTCCCATTCCCAGTTTATCCCAGTCCCTCCCAGTCCTCCCAGTTTCCCCAATCCCCTCCCAGTCCCTCCCAGTTCATCCCATTATCCCCCAATACCTCCCAGTATAAACCAGTAACCCCAAATCTCCTTTTTAACCCCTCCCAGTCCCTCCCAATCCCCTCCCAGTCCCTCCCAGTATAAACCAGTAACCCCAAATCTCCTTTTTAACCCCTCCCAGTTTCCTCCCAGTCCCTCCCAGTCCCTCCCAGTATAAACCAGTCCCTCCCAGTCCCTCCCAGTCCCTCCCAGTATAAACCAGTCCCTCCCAGTTCCCCCCCAGTCCCTCCCAGTTCCCCTCAATCCCCTCCCAGTTTCCCCCAGTCCCCCCCAGTCCCTCCCAGTATAAACCAGTCCACCCCAGTACCCCCCAATTCCCTCCCAGTATCCCCCAGTCCCTCCCAGTCTCTCCCAGTCCCTCCCAGTACAAACCAGTCCCTCCCAGTCTCTCTCCGCACGTGTCGCTCCCGCTCCGCCGCCGCCGCTCTGGCCCCGCCCCCGCGCGCTGATTGGCTGCGGGCCGGGAATGGGCGGGGCCAAAGGCGGAACCACCGAGAGGGGGCGGGGCCTCGGCTGCAGCGCCCTCTGGCGGACGGGAGGACCAACACCGACCAGTGCGGACCAGTTTGGACCAGTTTGGACCAGTTCGGACCAGTTTGGGGATGTTTGAACATGTTGGGATGTTACTGGGAGCACTGGGAGCCCAAACTGGGAGCACTGGGAGCCCAAACTGGGAGCACTGGGAGCCCAAACTGGGAGCACTGGGAGCCCAAACTGGGAGCACTGGGAGCACTGGGAGCCCAAACTGGGAACACTGGGAGCCCAAACTGGGAACACTGGGAGCTCAAACTGGGAGCCCAAACTGGGAGCACTGGGAGCCCAAACTGGGAGCACTGGGAGCCAAACTGGGAGCCCAAACTGGGAGCACTGGGAGCCCAAACTGGGAGCACTGGGAGCCCAAACTGGGAGCACTGGGAGCCCAAACTGGGAGCACTGGGAGCTCAAACTGGGAGGGACTGGGAGCACTGGGAGCCCATACTGGGAGCACTGGGAGCCCAAACTGGGAGCCCAAACTGGGAGCACTGGGAGCCCAAACTGGGAGCACTGGGAGCCAAACTGGGAGCACTGGGAGCGCAAACTGGGAGCCCAAACTGGGAGCACTGGGAGCCCAAACTGGGAGCCCAAACTGGGAGCACTGGGAGCACTGGGAGCCCAAACTGGGAGCACTGGGAGCCCAAACTGGGAGCACTGGGAGCACTGGGAGCCCAAACTGGGAGCCCAAACTGGGAGCACTGGGAGCCCAAACTGGGAGCACTGGGAGCCCAAACTGGGAGCCCAAACTGGGAGCACTGGGAGCCCAAACTGGGAGCACTGGGAGCTCAAACTGGGAGCCCAAACTGGGAGCACTGGGAGCCCAAACTGGGAGCACTGGGAGCCCAAACTGGGAGCCCAAACTGGGAGCACTGGGAGCCCAAACTGGGAGCCCAAACTGGGAGCCCAAACTGGGAGCCCAAACTGGGAGCACTGGGAGCCCAAACTGGGAGCACTGGGAGCACTGGGAGCCCAAACTGGGAGCACTGGGAGCCCAAACTGGGAGCACTGGGAGCCCAAACTGGGAGCACTGGGAGCCCAAACTGGGAGCCCAAACTGGGAGCCCAAACTGGGAGCTCAAACTGGGAGCACTGGGAGCCCAAACTGGGAGCCCAAACTGGGAGCCCAAACTGGGAGCACTGGGAGCCCAAACTGGGAGCACTGGGAGCCCAAACTGGGAGCACTGGGAGCCCAAACTGGGAGCCCAAACTGGGAGCCCAAACTGGGAGCACTGGGAGCCCAAACTGGGAGCACTGGGAGCCCAAACTGGGAGCCCAAACTGGGAGCACTGGGAGCTCAAACTGGGAGCACTGGGAGCACTGGGCGCCCAAACTGGGAGCACTGGGAGCCCAAACTGGGAGCACTGGGAGCCCAAACTGGGAGCTCAAACTGGGAGCCCAAACTGGGAGCACTGGGAGCCCAAACTGGGAGCACTGGGAGCCCAAACTGGGAGCACTGGGAGCTCAAACTGGGAGCACTGGGAACCCAAACTGGGAGCTCAAACTGGGAGCCCAAACTGGGAGCACTGGGAGCCCAAACTGGGAGCACTGGGAGCCCAAACTGGGAGCACTGGGAGCAATGGGAGCCCAAACTGGGAGCACTGGGAGCCCAAACTGGGAGCCCAAACTGGGAGCACTGGGAGCCCAAACTGGGAGCACTGGGAGCCCAAACTGGGAGCCCAAACTGGGAGCCCAAACTGGGAGCCCAAACTGGGAGCACTGGGAGCACTGGGAGCCCAAACTGGGAGCCCAAACTGGGAGCAATGGGAGCCCAAACTGGGAGCACTGGGAGCCCAAACTGGGAGCCCAAACTGGGAGCACTGGGAGCACTGGGAGCCCAAACTGGGAGCACTGGGAGCCCAAACTGGGAGCACTGGGAGCACTGGGAGCCCAAACTGGGAGCCCAAACTGGGAGCACTGGGAGCCCAAACTGGGAGCACTGGGAGCCCAAACTGGGAGCTCAAACTGGGAGCACTGGGAGCCCAAACTGGGAGCCCAAACTGGGAGCACTGGGAGCCCAAACTGGGAGCACTGGGAGCCCAAACTGGGAGCTCAAACTGGGAGCACTGGGAACCCAAACTGGGAGCACTGGGAGCCCAAACTGGGAGCCCAAACTGGGAGCCCAAACTGGGAGCCCAAACTGGGAGCCCAAACTGGGAGCACTGGGAGCACTGGGAGCCCAAACTGGGAGCCCAAACTGGGAGCAATGGGAGCCCAAACTGGGAGCACTGGGAGCCCAAACTGGGAGCCCAAACTGGGAGCACTGGGAGCACTGGGAGCCCAAACTGGGAGCACTGGGAGCCCAAACTGGGAGCACTGGGAGCACTGGGAGCCCAAACTGGGAGCCCAAACTGGGAGCACTGGGAGCCCAAACTGGGAGCACTGGGAGCCCAAACTGGGAGCTCAAACTGGGAGCACTGGGAGCCCAAACTGGGAGCCCAAACTGGGAGCACTGGGAGCCCAAACTGGGAGCACTGGGAGCCCAAACTGGGAGCTCAAACTGGGAGCACTGGGAACCCAAACTGGGAGCACTGGGAGCCCAAACTGGGAGCCCAAACTGGGAGCCCAAACTGGGAGCCCAAACTGGGAGCACTGGGAGCCCAAACTGGGAGCACTGAGAGCCCAAACTGGGAGCACTGGGAGCCCAAACTGGGAGCTCAAACTGGGAGCACTGGGAGCCCAAACTGGGAGCTCAAACTGGGAGCACTGGGAGCTCAAACTGGGAGCACTGGGAGCCCAAACTGGGAGCACTGGGAGCTCAAACTGGGAGCACTGGGAGCCCAAACTGGGAGCACTGGGAGCCCAAACTGGGAGCCCAAACTGGGAGCACTGGGAGCACTGGGAGCACTGGGAGCACTGGGAGCCCAAACTGGGAGCACTGGGAGCCCAAACTGGGAGCCCAAACTGGGAGCCCAAACTGGGAGCACTGGGAGCCCAAACTGGGAGCACTGGGAGCACTGGGAGCCCAAACTGGGAGCACTGGGAGCCCAAACTGGGAGCCCAAACTGGGAGCACTGGGAGCACTGGGAGCCCAAACTGGGAGCACTGGGAGCCCAAACTGGGAGCCCAAACTGGGAGCACTGGGAGCACTGGGAGCCCAAACTGGTCTGAACTGGTTTTTACTGGTCCAAACTGGTTTTTATTGGTCCGAACTGGTTTTTACTGGTCTGAACTGGTTTTTATTGGTCTTTACTGGGAGGAGCCCCCGGACCCCCCCAGAGGGGGGAGGGGGGGCTGGGAGGGGGGGAATTTTTTTGAAATTTGGGAAATTTTGGAAATTTTTTGGGAATTTTTTTGGATTTTTTGGGGATTTTTAAAGAATTTTTGGGATTTTTTTTTTATTTTTGGGGAAATTTGGGAATTTTTTGGGATTTTTGGGGAAATTTTTGGGAATTTCTTGGGAATTTTTTGGGAATTTCTTGGGGATTTCTGGGGATTTTTTGGGATATTTTGATTTCTGGGGATTTTTTGGGGAAATTTGGGAATTTTTTGGGATTTTTGTGGATTTTTGTGGAATTTTTGGGAATTTTTTGGGGATTTTTGGGAATATTTTTTTGTTGTTTTTGGGGAATTTTTGGGGAATTTTTGGGGATTTTTTTTGAATTTTGGGGAATTTTTCAGATTTTTTTTTTTAATATAATTTCCAGATATTTTGGAATAATTTGGGAATTTTTTGATTTTTTAGGAAAATTTTAGGGGGTTTTGAGATTTTGGAAAATTTGGGGAATTTTGGGGATTTTTTTGGATTTTTTTGGATTTTTTTGGAAATTTGGGAAATTTGGGAATTTTTTGGTGCCCCAAAGAACCCCAAGATGCCCCAAAGAACCCCAAGGAACCCTAAAGAACCTCAAGGAACCCCAAAATGCCTCAAGGAACCTCAAGGAACCTCCAAAGAACCCCAAAGAACCTCAAGGAACCTCAAGGAACCCCAAGATGCCCCAAAGAACCTCAAAGAACCTCAAAGAACCTCAAGGAACCCCAAGAAACCCCCAAGGAACCTGAAGGAACCCTAAAGAACCCCAAAGAGCTCCAAAGAACCTCAAGGAAACTCAAGATGCCCCAAAGAACCCCAAGATGACCTCAAGGAACCCCAAAGAACCTCAAAGGAACCCCAAAGGAACCCCAAAGAACATCAAAGAACCTCAAAGAACCCCCAAAGAACCTCAAGGAACCCCAAAGATGCCCCAAAGAACTTCAAGGAACCTCAAAGGTGACCCAAAGAACCCCAAAGAACCTCAAAGAACATCAAAGAACCTCAAAGAACCTTAAGGAACCTCAAGGAACCCCAAAGGAACCCGAAGATGCCCCAAAGAACCTCAAAGACCTCCAAGATACCCCAAAAAACCTCAAGGAACCCCAATAGAACCTCAAAGAACCCCAAAGAACCTCAAAGAACCTCAAGGAACCTCAAGATGACCCAAGGAACCTCAAGGAAACCCAAGGAACCCTCAAGGAACCCAAAGATGCCCCAAAGAACCTCAAGGAACCCCAAAGAACCTCAAGATGCCCCAAAGAACCCCAAAGGAACCCCAAGATGCCCCAAGATGGCCCAAAGAACCCCCAAGGAACCCTAAAGAACCTCAAGGAACCCCAAAATGCCTCAAGGAACCCCAAAGAACCTCAAAGAACCTCAAAGAACATCAAAGAACCCCAAGGAACCCCAAATAACCCCAAAGAACCCCCAAGATACCCCAAGGAACCCCAAGAAACCCCCAAGACGCCCCAAGGAACCCCAAAGAACCTCAAAGAACCTCAAGATGACCCCAAAGAACCCCAAAAGAACCTCAAGGAACCCCAAGGAACCTCAAGATGCCCCAAAGAACCTCAAGATGCCCCAAGGAACCCCAAGATGCTCCAAGGAGCCCCAAGGAACCCCAAAAGAACCTCAAAGAACCCCAAAAGAACCTCAAAGAACATCAAAGAACCTCAAGGAACCCCAAAGAACCTCAAGGAACCTGAAAGAACCCCAAAGAACCTCAAGGAACCCCAAAGGAACCCCAAGATGCCCCAAAGAACCTCAAGGAACCTCAAGATGCCCCAAAGAACACCAAAGAACCCCAAGGAACCTCAAGGAACCCCAAAGAACCTCAAGGAACCTCAAGATGACCCCAAAGAACCCCAAAAAAACCTCAAGGAACCCCAAGGAACCTCAAGGAACCCCAAAGAACCCCAAAGGAACCCCAAGGAACCCCAAAGAACCTCAAGGAACCTCAAGGAACCTCAAGGAACCCCAAAGAACCCCAAAGGAACCCCAAGAAACCCCAAAAAACCTCAAGATGACCCAAAGAACCCCAAGATGACCTCAAGGAACCCCAAAGAACCTCAAAGACCCCCAAGAAACCCCAAAGAACCCCAAATAACCCCAAAGAACCCCAAAGAACCTCAAAGAACCTCAAGGAACCCCAGAGGAACCCCAAAGAACCTCAAGATGCCCCAAAGAACCTCAAGGAACCCCAAAGAACCCCCAAGGAACCCCAAGATGCCCCAAGGAACCCCCGAAGAACCTGAAAGAACCTCAAGATACCCCAAAAAAACCCAAAGGAACCTCAAGGAACCTCAAGATGACCCAAGGAACCCCAAAGGTGACCCAAGGACCCCCAAGTCGCCCCCCGGCGCCGTCTCAGCCGCAGCAGTAGAGCTCCAGATCGTTGAGTCCTGTGTCATCTCCACCACGTTGAGGCGGCTCCAACCGCGTCCGGAGGCCACAAACGCCGGCGCCGGGCGGACAAGGGACGCTCCAGTTGCCCCAAGTGCCCTGAGGACCACCTGGACCTTCCAGCAAGGACCCCCCCGAGCAGATGGCGGCCACCGCGTTGGCGGCCGTGTCGTCCCAGAGGCCGCGTGGTGGCTCCACGCGAAGACGGAAGGCCACCAGGCGTTGGCCGGTGGGACACGACTCTGGGTGGCTCCAGACGCCGCGGCTGTGGGGACATGGAGAGGTCGTGGTGGGGTTGGGATGGGGAAGCCTCCTGAGAAATGTCCTGGGGTGGGGGTGGTTGGGTTGTGGTGGTCATGGAAGGGTCTTGGTGGCCACGGTTGAGTTTTGGTGGCCGTGGTTGGGTTGTGGTGGCCATGGAGGGGTTCTGGTGGTCATGGAAGGGTCTTGGAGGTCATGGAAGAGTCTTGGTGGTCATGGAAGGGTTTTGGTGTCCATGGTTGGGACATGGTGGTCATGGTTGGGTTTTGGTGGCCATGGTTGGATTTTGGTGGCCACTGTGGGGTTTTGGTGGACATGGTTGGGTTCTGTTGGTCATGGAAGGGTCTTGGAGGACATGGAAGGGGTTGTGGTGGCCATGGTTGGGTTGTGTTCATCATGGAAGGGTCTTGGTGGCCATGGTTGGGTTGTGTTGGTCATGGATGGGTCTTGATGGTCATGGTCAGGTTTTGGTGGCTGTGGTTGGATCTTGGTGGTTATGGAAGAGTCTGGGTGGTCATGGAAGGGTCTTGGTGGCCATGGTTGGGTTTTGGTGGCCATGGTTGGGTTTTGGTGGCCATGGTTGGGTTGTGTTGGACGTGGTTGGGCTGTGGTGGTCATGGAAGGGTCATGGTGGCCATGGTTGGGTCATGGTGGCCGTGGAGAGGTCATGGTGGTCATGGAGGGGTTGTGTTGGCCGTGGTTGGGTTGGGTTGGCCATAGAGGGGTTCTGGTGGTCATGGAAGGGTTGTGGTGGCCGTGGTTTGGTTTTGGTGGCCATGGTTGGGTTGTGGTGGTCATGGAGAGGTCATGGTGGGGTTGGGATGGGGAAGCCTCCTGAGAAATGTCCTGGGGTGGTGGTGGTCGTGGTTGGGTTGGCCATGGAGGGGTTGTGGTGGTCGTGGTTGGGTTATGGTGGTCATGGAGGGGTCATGGTGGCCATGGAAGGGTTTTGGTGGTCATGGAGGGGTTGTGGTGGCCGTGGTTGGGTTGTGGTGGCCGTAGTTGGGTCATGGTGGCCATGGTTGGGTTTTGGTGGCCATGGAAGGGTCTTGGTGGCCATGGAGGAGTTGTGTTGGCCGTGGTTGGGTTTTGGTGGCCATGTTCAGGTTTTGGTGGCCACTGTGGATTTTGGTAGCCATAGTTGTGTTTTGGTGGCCATGGATGGGTTTTGATGGCCACGTTCAGGTTTTGGTGGCCATGGTTGGGTCTTGGTGGTCATGGTTGGGTTGTGTTGGCCGTGGTTGGGTTATGGTGGCCACAGTCAGGTTTTGGTGGCCACTGTTGGGTTTTGGTGGCCATGGTTGGGTTGTGTTGGCCGTGGTCATGTTTTGGTGGCCATGGTTGGGACATGGTGGTCATGGTTGGGTTGTGGTGGGCGTGGTTGGGTTGTGGTGGTCATGGAGAGGTCATGGTGGTCATGGAAGAGTCTTGATGGTCATGGAGGGGTTGAGGTGGTCATGGTTGGGTTGTGTTGGTCATGGAGGGGTCATGGTGGGGTTGGGATGGGGGAAGCCTCCTGAGAAACGTCCTGGGGTGGGGGTGGTTGGGGTTGGGTTGGGTTGGTCATGGAGAGGTCATGGTGGCCGTGGTTGGGATTTCTTGGCCGTGGTTGGGTTGTGGTGGCCGTTGTTGTGTTGTCTTGGTCATGGAAGGGTTTTGGTGGCCATGGTTGGGTTGTGTTGGTCATGGAGGGGTCTTGGAGGTCATGGAAGAGTCTTGGTGGTCATGGAAGAGTCTTGATGGTCATGGAGGGGTTGAGGTGGCCGTGGTTGGGTTTTGGTGGCCACGGTCGGGTTTTGGTGGCCATAGTTGGGTTTTGGTGGCCATGGTTGGGACATGGTGGCCATGGTTGAGTTTTGGTGGCCACTGTGGGGTTTTGGTGGTCATGGAAGGGTCTGGGTGGCCATGGTTGGGTTATGGTGGCCATGGAAGAGTCTTGATGGTCATGGAGGGGTTGTGTTGGTCATGGAAGGGTCTTGGTGGTCATGGTTGGGACATGGTGGCCATGGTTGAGTTTTGGTGGCCACGTTCAGGTTTTGGTGGCCATGGTTGGGACATGGTGGTCATGGTTGGGACATGGTGGTCATGGAAGGGTCTTGGTGGTCATGGTCAGGTTGTGGTGGCCATGGTTGGGTTGTGGTGGCCATGGTTGGGTTGGGTTGGTCGTGGTTGGGTGATGGTGGTCATGGTTGGGTTGTGGTGGTCATGGAGAGGTCATGGTGGGGTTGGGATGGGGGAAGCCTCCTGAGAAACGCCCTGGGGTGGGGGTGGTTGGGTTGTGGTGGGCGTGGTTGGGTTTTGGTGGTCATGGAAGGGTCTTGGTGGACATGGTTGGGTTGTGGTGGTCATGGAGGGGTTTTGGTGGCCGTGGTTGGGTTGTGTTGGCCATGGAGAGGTCTTGGTGGTCATGGAGGGGTCTTGATGGTCATGGAAGGGTCTTGATGGTCATGGAGGGGTTGTGGTGGCCGTGGTTGGGTTGTGTTGGTCGTGGTTGGGTTGTGGTGACTGTAGAAGAGTCTTGGTGGTCATGGAAGGGTCTTGGTGGTCATGGTTGGGTTTTGGTGGCCGTGGTTGGGTTGTGTTGGTCATGGTTGGGTTCTGGTGGCCATGGTTGGGTAATGGTGGTCGTGGTTGGGTTGTGGTGGTCATGGAGAGGTCATGGTGGGGTTGGGATGGGGGAAGCCTCCTGAGAAACTTCCTGGGGTGGGGGTGGGGGTGGTTGGGTCATGGTGGCCACTGTCGGGTTTTGGTGGCCATGGTTGGGTTGTGGTGGCCGTGGTTGGGTTGTGGTGGTCATGGAAAGGTCTTGGTGGTCATGGAGGGGTTGTGTTGGCCGTGGTTGGGTTGTGGTGGTTATGGTTGGGACATGGTGGTCATGGTTGGGTTTTGGTGGCCACTGTGGGGTTTTGGTGGCCGCGGTTGGGTTGTGGTGGCCATGGAAGAATCTTGATGGTCATGGAGGGCTTGAGGTGGCCGTGGTTGGGTTGTGTTGGCCATGGAGGGGTTGTGGTGGTCATGGTTGGGTTGTGGTGGTCGTGGTTGGGTTGTGTTGGTCATGGAAGGGTCTTGGTGGCCATGGTTGGGTTGGGTTGGTCATGGAATTGTCTTGATGGTCATGGAAGGGTTGAGGTGGCCATGGTTGGGTTTTGGTGGCCATGGTTGAGTTTTGGTGGCCACTGTGGGGTTTTGGTGGCCATGGAGGGGTTGTGTTGGCCATGGTTGGGTTATGGTGGTCATGGAGAGGTCATGGTGGCCATGGAGGGGTCTTGGTGGTCATGGAAGGGTCATGGTGGCCATGGAGGGGTCTTGGTGGTCATGGAAGGGTCATGGTGGCCATGGAGGGGTCTTGGTGGCCATGGAGAGGTCATGGTGGTCATGGAAGGGTCTTGGTGGCCATGGTTGGGTTTTGGTGGCCACGGTCAGCTTTTGGTGGCCATGGTTGGGTTTTGCTGGCCGTGGTTGGGTTGTGGTGGCCATGGAGAGGTCATGGTGGTCATGGAAGGGTCATGGTGGCTATGGTTGTGTTTTGGTGTCCATTGATGGGTTCTGGTGGCCACTGTTGGGTTTTGGTGGCCATGGTTGGGTTTTGATGGCCATGGTTGGGTTTTGGTGGCCATGGTTGGGTTTTGATGGCCACGGTTGGGTTTTGTTGGCCATGGTTGGGTCATGGTGGCCATGGTCAGGTTTTGGTGGCCATGGTTGGGATTTCTTGGCCATGGTTGGGTTGTGTTGGTCATGGAAGGGTCTTGGTGGTCATGGTCAGGTTTTGGTGGCCACGGTTGGGTCATGGTGGCCATGGTTGGGTTTTAGTGGCCACGGTCAGGTTTTGGTGGCCACGGTCAGGTTTTGGTGGCCACGGTTGGGTTTTGGTGGCCATGGTTGGGTCATGGTGGCCATGGTTGGGTTTTAGTGGCCATGGTCAGGTTTTGGTGGCCATGGTTGGGTTGTGTTGGCCATGGTTGGGTTTTGGTGGCCACAGTTGGGTTTTGGTGGCCACTGTTGGGTTGTGTTGGTCATGGAAGGGTCTTGGAGGTCATGGAAGGGTCTTGGTGGCCATGGAGAGGTCATGATGGTCATGGAAGGGTCTTGGTGGCCGTGGTTGGGTTGTGGTGGCCGTGGTTGGGTTGTGGTGGACATGGAGGGGTTGTGGTGGTCATGGAGAGGTCATGGTGGGGTTGGGATGGGGAAGCCTCCTGAGAAACGCCCTGGGGGTGGGGGTGGTTGGGTTGTGGTGAGCATGGAGAGGTCATGGTGGTCATGGAAGGGTCTTGGTGGCCGTGGTTGGGTTGTGTTGGCCATGGTTGGGTTTTGGTGGCCACGTTCATGTTTTGGTGGCCATGGTTGGGACATGGTGGTCATGGTTGGGTTTTGGTGGCCATAGTTGGGTGATGGTGGCCATGGAGGGGTTGTGTTGGCCACTGTTGGGTCTTGGTGGCCAAGGTTGGGTTTTGGTGGACATGGTTGCGTCATGGTGGCCACTGTGGGGTTTTGGTGGCCACTGTGGGGTTTTGGTGGCCACGGTCAGGTTTTGGTGGCCATGGTTGGGTCATGGTGGCCATGGTTGGGTCATAGTAGCCATGGTCAGGTTGTGGTGGCCACTGTGGGGTTTTGATGGCCAATGTGAGGTTTTGGTGGCCATGGTTGGGTTTTGGTGGCCATAGTTGGGTTTTGGTGGCCATAGTTGGGTTTTGGTGGCCATGGTTGGGTCATGGTGGCCATGGATAGGTTCTGGTGGCCGTGGTTGGGTTTTAGTGGCCGTGGTTGGGTTTTGGTGGCCATGGTTGGGTTTTAGTGGCCGTGGTTGGATTTCAGTGGCCATGGTTGGGTTTCGGTGGCCACGGTTGGGTTTCGGTGGCCATGGTTGTGTTTTGGTGGCCATGGATGGGTCATGGTGGCCATGGTTGGGTCAGAGTGGCCATGGTTGGGTCATGGTGGCTGTGGTGGGGTCTTGGTGGCCATGGTTGGGTTGTGGTGGCCACGGTCAGGTTTTGGTGGCCATGGTTGGGTTGTGGTGGCCACGTTCAGGTTTTGGTGGCCATGGTTGGGTCATGGTGGCCATGGTTGGGTTTTGATGGCCACGTTCAGGTTTTGGTGGCCATGGTTGGGTTGTGTTGGCCATGGAGAGGTCATGGTGGTCATGGAAGGGTCTTGGTGGTCATGGTCGGGTTTTGGTGGCCATGGTTGCGTCATGGTGGCCACGTTCAGGTTTTGGTGGCCATGGTCGGGTTTTGGTGGCCACTGTCGGGTTTTGATGGCCATGGTTGGGTTTTGGTGGCCATGGTTGGGTTCTGGTGGCCATGGTTGGGTTTTGGTGGCCATGGTCAGGTTTTGGTGGCCACGGTTGGGTTTTGGTGTCCATGGATGTGTTTTGGTGGCCATGGTTGGGTTGTGGTGGCCACTGTGGGGTTTTGGTGGCCACAGTAAGGTTTTGGTGGCCATGGTTGGGTTGTGTTGGCTGTGGTTGGGTTGGGTTGGCCATGGTTGCGTCATGGTGGTCATGGTCAGGTTTTGGTGGCCATGGTCGGGTTTTGGTGGCCATGGTTGGGTCATGGTGGCCATGGTTGGATTTTGGTGGCCATGGTTGGGTCAGAGTGGCCGTGGTTGGGTTTTGGTGGCCACGTTCATGTTTTGGTGGCCATGGTTGGGACATGGTGGTCATGGTTGTGTTGTGGTGGCCGTGGTTGGGTTGGGTTGGTCATGGTTGTGTTGTGGTGGCCGTGGTTGGGTTGTGTTGGTCATGGTTGGGTCATGGTGGCCATGGCTGGGTCATGGTGTCCATGGTTGGGTTTTAGTGGCCACTGTAAGGTTTTGGTGGCCACTGTCGGGTTTTGGTGGCCACTGTTGGGTCTTGGTGACTGTGGTTGGGTTCTGGTGGCCATAGTTGGGTTTTGGTGGCCATGGTTGGGTTTTGATGGCCAATGTGAGGTTTTGGTGGCCATGGTTGGGTTTTGGTGACCATGGCTGGGTCATGGTGGCCATGGTTGGGTTGTGTTGGTCATGGTTGGGTTGGGTTGGTCATGGTTGGGTTATGGTGGTCATGGAGAGGTCATGGTGGTCATGGAGGGGTTGTGGTGGCCATTGTTGGGTCATGGTGGCCATGGTCAGGTTTTGGTGGCCACTGTGGATTTTGGTGGCCACATCCAGCTGTCCCCACCCCCCCGTGGTCACTCACGGTCCCACGCTGGAGGTGACCTCCCCGGCGGTGCCGCAGAGCAGCCGGACGCCGTTCAGCGCCGTGTCGTCACCGAAAAATCCCTTGTGGGGCTCCACCTGTGGGACACCGAAATTGTCACCACCCCCGTGTTCCTGAAATTGTCACCACCTCTGTGTCCCCAAAATTGTCACCACCCCCGTGTCCCCAAAATTGTCACCACCTCCATGTCCCCGAAATTGTCACCACCCCCCGTGTCCCCAAATTCTTGTCACCCCCAATGTCCCCAAATTTCTGTCACCCCCCCGTGTCCCCACATCTCACCCCTGGTGTCCCCCCAATGTCCCCACAGTGTCCCAAATGTCCCCACAGTGTCCCCAATGTCCCCCAAATGTCCCCAACCCCCCGAAATGTCCCCAAATGTCCCCAATGTCCCCAAATGTCCCCAATGTCCCCAAATGTCCCCAAACCCCCCCAACCTCCCCATTGTCCCCAATGTCCCAGATCCCCCCAATGTCCCCAAATGTCCCCAATGTCCCCAATATGTCCCCAATGTCCCCAGTGTCCCCAAATTTCCCCATTGTCCCGAATCCCCAATGTCCCCAAATGTCCCCCATGTCCCCAACCCCCCAGTGTCGCCAATGTCCCCAAAATGTCCCCAACCCCCCAAAGTCCCCAAATCCCCCCAATGTCCCCAACCCCCAATGTCCCCAATCTCCCAAATATCCCCAAACCCCCTCAATGTCCCCAAATGTCCCAAACCTCCCAATGTCCCCCATGTCCCCAGTGTCCCCAATGTCCCCAATGTCCCCAATGTCCCCAATGTCCCCAAACCCCCGAAATGTCCCCAACCCCCCCCAAATGTCCCCAAATGTCCCCACCTTGAGCTGGAAGCCGCTGGCGAAGCTCCTGGGGGGGCAGAACTCGGGGTGTCCCCAGTGTCCCCAATGTCCCCAATGTCCCCAACCCTAAATGTCCCCAAATGTCCCCAAATGTCCCCAAATGTCCCCAATGTCCCCAATGTCCCCAATGTCCCCAGTGTCCCCAACCCCCCAAATGTCCCAAATCTCCGAAATGTCCCAAAATGTCCCCAATGTCCCCAAGGTGGCCAAATGTCCCAAATCTCCCCAATGTCCCCAAACCCCCAAATGTCCCCAGTGTCCCCAAAATGTTCCCAATGTCCCCAATGTCCCCAAACCACTGAAATGTCCCAAAATGTCCCGAAATGTCCCAAATGTCCCCAAACCCCCCAACCTCCCCAGTGTCTCCAATGTCCCCAATGTCCCCAATGTCCCCAATGTCCCCAACCCCACAATGTCCCCAATGTCCCCAATGTCCCCAATGTCCCCAAATGTCCCCAAATGTCCCCAAATGTCCCCACCTTGAGCTGGAAGCCGCTGGCGAAGCTCCTGGGGGGGCAGAACTCGGGGTCCCCCCAGTGTCCCCACTGTCCCCAACCCCCAAATGTCCCAAATCTCCCAAATGTCCCAACCCCCCTCAATGTCCCCAATGTCCCCAAATGTCCCCAAATGTCCCCAGTGTCCCCAAACCCCCAAATGTCCCCAAATGCCCCAAATGTCCCCAAATGTCCCCAACCCCCCCAATGTCCCCAATGTCCCCCAAATGTCCCCAATGTCCCACACCCCCCAATGTCCCCAAATATCCCCAATGTCCCCACTGTCCCCAATGTCCCCAATGACCCCAAATGTCCCCAATCCCCCCAAAAATGTCCCCAAATGTCCCCAACCTCCCAAAGGTCCCCAAACCCCCCAACCTCCCCAATGTCCCCAATGTCCCCAACCCCAAATCTCCCAAATGTCCCAAATGTCCCAAATGTCCCCACTGTCCCCAACCCCTCCAATGTCCCCAAAATGTCCCCAAAATGTCCCCAAATGTCCCCACCTTGAGCTGGAAGCCGCTGGCGAAGCTCCTGGGGGGTCAGAACTCGGGGTGTCCCCACTGTCCCCAACCCTACAATGTCCCCAGTGTCCCCAATGTCCCAAACCCCCCAATGTCCCCAACCTCCCCAGTGTCCCCAATGTCCCCAAATGTCCCCAATGTCCCCCCACTGTCCCCAACCCCCGAAATGTCCCCAATGTCCCAAATCCCTCCAAAATGTCCCCAAATGTCCCCAATGTCCCCAAACCCCTCCAGTGTCCCCAATGTCCCAAATCCCCCAAATGTCCCAAATCTCCCCAATGTCCCCAACCCCCCTGAAATGTCCCCAAATGTCCCCAATGTCCCCAACCCCCCAAAGTCCCAAAATTCCCCCAATGTCTCCAATGTCCCCAATGTCCCCAAATCTCCCCAGTGTTCCCAAACTCCCAAAATGTCCCCAAATGTCCCCACTGTCCCCAACCCCCCAATGTCCCCAATGTCCCCAAATGTCCCCAAATGTCCCCACCTTGAGCTGGAAGCCGCTGGCGAAGCTCCTGGGGGGGCAGAACTCGGGGTCCCCCCAGTGTCCCCAATGTCCCCAACCCCCAAATGTCCCAAATCTCCCAAATGTCCCCAATGTCCCCATTGTCCCCAAATGTCCCCAAATGTCCCCAAATGTCCCAAATCTCCCCAGTGCCCCCAAAGCCCCAAATGTCCCAAAATGTCCCCAATGTCTCCAACCCCCCCAAATGTCCCCAAATGTCCCCATTGTCCCGAATCCCCAATGTCCCCAACCCCCCAATGTCCCCAGTGTCCCCAATGTCCCCAAACCCCTGAAATGTCCCCAAATGTCCCGAATGTCCCCAACCCCAAATATCCCAAATCTTACAAATGTCCCCCAATGTCCCCAATCTCCCCAACCTCCCCAATGTCCCCAATGTCCCCAACCCCCCAAATGTCCCCAATGTCCCCAATGTCCCCAATGTCCCCAATGTCCCCAATGTCCCCAAATGTCCCAAATGTCCCCAATGTCCCCAATGTCCCCAACCCCAAATGTCCCCAATGTCCCCAATGTCCCCAATGTCCCCAATGTCCCCAATGTCCCCAAATGTCCCCAAATGTCCCCACCTTGAGCTGGAAGCCGCTGGCGAAGCTCCTGGGGGGGCAGAACTCGGGGTGTCCCCACTGTCCCCACTGTCCCCCGTTTGTCACCGTCAGCGTCGCCGTCGGCGCCTCCCGGTGCCACCCCCACGCCGGGGGGGCCACCAGGGCCACCAAGGCCACCAAGGCCACCAGGGCCACCGCGGGGTGTGGGGACAGAGCCATGGACGGGAACAAACAACCCCAGGGGTCACAGCGGGGTTTATAACCCGGGCTGGGAACTGGGAGGGACTGGGAGGGACTGGGAGGGACTGGGAGGGGTTCAAAAGGAGATTTGGGGTTACTGGTTTATACTGGGAGGGGACTGAGGGGAACTGGGAGGGACTGGGATGGACTGGGAGGGGTTAAAGAGGAGATTTGGGGTTACTGGTTTATACTGGGAGGGACTGGGTGGGGATTGAGGGGAACTGGGAGGGAACTGGGAGGGACTGGGAGGGGACTGGGAGGGGACTGGGAGGGACTGGGAGGAACTGGGGGGAACTGGGAGGGACTGGGAGGGGATTGGGGGGGACTGGGATGGACTGGGAGGGGACTGAGGGGAATTGGGATAGACTGGGAGGGACTGGGAGGGGAACTGGGAGGGAACTGGGAGGGACTGGGAGGAACTGGGGGGAACTGGGAGGGACTGAGAGGGAACTGGGGGGGACTGGGATAGACTGGGAGGGGTTAAAAAGGAGATTTGGGGTTACTGGTTTATACTGGGAGGGACTGGGAGGGGTTAAAAAGGAAATTTGGGGTTACTGGTTTATACTGGGATGGACTGGGAGGGAACTGGGGTGAACTGGGAGGGACTGGGAGGGACTGGGAAGGGTTAAAAAGGAGATTTGGGGTTACTGGTTTATACTGGGAGGGACTGGGAGGGAACTGGGATGGACTGGGATGGGATTGGGGGTGACTGGGGGAGACTGGGAGGGGATTTGGGGTTACTGGTTTATACTGGGAGGGACTGGGAGGGACTGGGAGGGAACTGGGAGGGATTGGGAGGGGTTAAAGAGGAGATTTGGGGTTACTGGTTTATACTGGGAGGGACTGGGAGGGGTTAAAAAGGAGATTTGGGGTTACTGGTTTATACTGGGAGGGACTGGGAGGGAACTGGGGGGAACTGGGAGGGAATTGGGGGGAACTGGGAGGGACTGGGATGGACTGGGAGGGACTGGGAGGGCTTAGAAAGGAGATTTGGGGTTACTGGTTTATACTGGGAGGGACTGGGAGGGGATTGAGGGGAACTGGGAGGGACTGGGAGGGACTGGGAGGGGTTAAAGAGGAGATTTGGGGTTACTGGTTTATACTGGGAGGGACTGGGAGGGGATTGGGAGGGGTTAAAGAGGAGATTTGGGGTTACTGGTTTATACTGGGAGGGACTGGGAGGGAACTGGGATGGACTGGGAGGGAACTGGGATGGACTGGGGGGAACTGGGAGGAAACTGGGAGGGACTGGGAGGGAACTGGGGGTAACTGAGAGGGAACTGGGAGGGAACTGGGAGGGACTGGGAGGGGATTGGGGGGAACTGGGAGGGACTGGGAGGGGTTAAAAAGGAGATTTAGGGTTACTGGTTTATACTGGGAGGGACTGGGGGGGGATTGGGGGGGACTGGGAGGGACTGGGAGGGGTTAAAAAGGAGATTTGGGGTTACTGGTTTATACTGGGAGGGGACTGAGGGGAACTGGGAGGGACTGGGAGGGACTGGAAGGGGTTAAAAAGGAGATTTGGGGTTACTGGTTTATACTGGGAGAGACTGGGAGTGAACTGGGGTGGACTGGGGGGGAACTGGGAGGGACTGGGACGGACTGGGAGGGACTGGGAGGGGACTGGGAGGGAACTGGGGGGGACTGGGAGGGACTGGGAGGGTTAAAAAGGAGATTTGGGGTTACTGGTTTATACTGGGAGGGACTGGGAGGGGACTGAGGGGGAACTGGAAGGGACTGGGAGGGGACTGGGAGGGACTGGGAGGGACTGGGAGGGACTGGGAGGGACTGGGAGGGACTGGGAGGGAACTGGGAGGGACTGGGAGGGACTGGGAGGGACTGGGAGGGGTTAAAAAGGAGATTTGGGGTTACTGGTTTATACTGGGAGGGACTGGGAAGGGATTGAGGGGAACTGGGGGGGACTGGGATGGGTTAAAAAGGAGATTTGGGGTTACTGGTTTATACTGGGAGGGACTGGGAGGGACTGGGACAGGTTCAAAAGGAGATTTGGGGTTACTGGTTTATACTGGGAGGGGACTGAGGGGGAACTGGGGTGAACTGGGAGGGACTGGGAGGGGTTAAAAAGGAGATTTGGGGTTACTGGTTTATACTGGGAGGGGATTAAGGGGAACTGGGAGGGGATTGAGGGTAACTGGGGGGAACTGGGAGGGACTGGGAGGGGATTGAGGGGAACTGGGGGGGACTGGAGGGGTTAAAAAGGAGATTTGGGGTTACTGGTTTATACTGGGAGGGACTGGGAGGGGACTGGGGTGAACTGGGAGGGGATTGAGGGGAACTGGGAGGAACTGGGAGGAAACTGGGGGGAACTGGGAACACTGGTCTGTACTGGTCCGTACTGGTCTGTACTGGTCCATACTGGTCTGTACTGGGAGCACTGGTCTGTACTGGTCTGTACTGGTCTGCACTGGTCTGTACTGGTCCGTACTGGTCCATACTGGTCTGTACTGGTCCATACTGGTGTCTGTACTGTGTCCCTGAGGGGGGAATGACCCAGGGGACACCGGGGGGGGGGGAGGGGGGGGTGGCCCTGTCCTCGTGTCCCTTTGTCCCCTCCCATGACGTCACCGCCACCGCCCCCATGACGTCACCGCCACCGCCCCCCCTCCCATTGGCTGCCCTGGGGACAAACTGGGACAAACTGGGAGGGACTGGAATGAACTGGGAGTTTATTGAGTTCCACACAGCCCCGGGGGGGGACCCCGGGGACACTTTGGGGACATTTTGGGGACATTTTGGGGACACTTTGGGGACATTTTGGGGACACTTTGGGGACATTTTGGGGACATTTGGGGACACCCAGACCCCCCTGTCCTCCTCAGGGACATTTTGGGGACATTTTGGGGACATTTGGGGACATTTTGGGGACACCCAGACCCCCCTGTCCTCCCCAGGGGTGTCCAGGGACACTTTGGGGACATTTTGGGGACTCTGAGGCCACCAAATGTCCCCACAGAGGGGTCCCAGGGACACTTTGGGGACATTTTGGGGACACCAAGACCCCCCTGTCCTCCCCAGGGACATTTTGGGGACACTTTGGGGACATTTGTGGACACAGGGGCCCCTTTGGTGACACTTTGGGGACATTTGGTGACACTTTGGGGCCCTTTGGGGACACTTTAGGGACATTTGAGCCCCTCCGGTGACACTTTGGGGACATTGCAGCCCCTCAGGTGACACTTTAGGGACACTTTAGGGACATTTGGGCCCCTCAGGTGACACTTTGGGGACACCGTGGCCCCTCAGGTGACACTTTAGGGACATTTGGGCCCCTCAGGTGACACTTTGGGGACATTGTGGCCCCTCAGGTGACACTTTGGGGCCCTTTGGTGACACTTTAGGGACATTTGGGCCCCTAAGGTGACACTTTGGGGACATTTGGGGCCATTGGAGCCCCTCAGGTGACACTTTGGGGCCATTGGGGCCCCTCAGGTGACACTTTGGGGACACCGTGACCCCTCAGGTGACACTTTTGGGCCACCATGACCCCTCAGGTGACACTTTTAGGTGCCACCCGCTGTCTCCTGCGTCCCCACCCCGGAGGTCCCATTGGCCTTACCCGCGGTGACACCGGTGGCACTTTGGGGACTGTCCCCAACCTCCACCTTGGTGACGTTGGCAGCCACCGGGGACCCCGCGGCGGTGGCAGTGGTGGCACTTGGGGACATCTGCGGGGCGGGGGCGGGCGGGGGGGTGGCGGTGGTGGCAGTGCCACCCTTGGTGTCACCTGTGGCGGGTGGCAATGACACCACGATGTATTTCTGCACGGCGCCGGTGACACCGGTGACACCGGTGGTGGCGGTGGCGGTGGCGGTGGTGGCACCGCTGGGGACACCGGGGGACACCAGTTTGACCAGTGGCTGCACGCTGGGGACAGTGGTGGTGACAGGGGAGGTGGCAGTGGGGGCGGGGGACGTGCTCAGCGTGATCACCTGCGGAGGTGACAAAGGTGACACCCATGGGTGGCACCTCACGGTGACGAAAAAATGGCCCTTTGTTGTCACCTCCCCCCGTTGTGTCACCAATGTCCCCAATGTCCCCAAATCCCCCCAATGTCCCCAATGTCCCCAATGTCCCCAATGTCCCCAATGTCACCCAATGTCCCCAGTGTCCCCAATGTCCCCAACTCCCCAATGTCCCCAATGTCCCCAATGTCCCCCAATGTCCCCGATGTCCCCCAATGTCCCCAACCCCCCAGTGTCCCCAATGTCCCCAGTATCCCCAAATGTCCCCAATGTCCCCAATGTCCCCAATGTCCCCAAATATCCCCAACGTCCCCAATGTCCCCAACGTCCCCAATGTCCCCAAATCCCCCCAAGACCCCCAATGTCCCCAATCCCCCCCATGTCCCCAAAGTGTCCCCAACCCCCCCAATGTCCCCAATGTCCCCAAACCCACCAACGTCCCCCAAATGTCCCCAATGTCCCCCAATGTCCCCAAATGTCCCCAATCCCCCCAGTGCCCCAATGTCCCCAATCCCCCAAATGTCCCCAAATATCCCCCAATGTCCCCAATGTTCCCAACTCCCCAATGTCCCCAATGTCCCCATTGTCCCCAACCCCCAATGTCCCCAACCCCCCAATGTCCCCAGTGTCCCCAGCCCCCCCGCTGTCCCCAATCCCCCCAATGTCCCCAAATATCACCCAATCCCCCCAATGTCCCCAATCCCCCCAATGTCCCCAAACCCACCAATGTCCCAAATCCCCTCGCAGTCCCCAATGTCCCCAAATGTCCCCAATCCCCCCAATGTCTCCAACATCCCCAACCCCCATAATGTCCCAAACGTTCCCAAACCCCTCCGCTGTCCCCAACCCCCCCAATGTCCCCCAATCCCCCGCTGTCCCCAATGTCCCCAATACCCCCAACGCCCCCACTGTCCCCAACCCCCCCAATGTCCCCACTGTCCCCCCCCCGCTGTCCCCGTACCTGCTGGCTGGCGCTGCTGGCCGAGGACATGACGATGAACTTGGGGGGCGGCGGGGAGGGCTGGGTGGGGGTCCCGGGGCGGCCGCCGGGGGCCAGGGCGGGCACGGGGACGGGCACGGGCACGGGCAGGGCGATGGCGCTGGGCACCTTGATGATGCTGGGGGGCCGCGGGGGCGCCCCCGGGGCCTGCGGGGCCTGGGACAGCGTCAGCGTGGGGCGCGGCTGTGGGGACATTGGGGACATGGTTAGGGGGGATTGGGGACATTGGGGGCATTGGGGATGTTGGGGGATTGGGGACATTGGGGACATTGGGGGGACATTGGGGACATTGGGGACATTGGGGACATTGGGGGGATTGGGGACGTTGGGGACACTGAAGACATTGGGGGGATTGGGGACATCGGAGACATTGGGGACACTGTGGGGACATTGGGGGGATTTGGGACACTGTGGGATATTTGGGACATTGGGGACATTGGGGGGGATTGGGGACATTGGGGACACTGTGGGATATTTGGGGACACTGGGGACACTGGTGACATCAGGGACATCGGGGACACGGGGACAGCAGTCGCAGGGAGGACACGGGGGGGACACAGTGACAGGGGGACACTTTGGGGACACAAATCCCCAGAGGGGACACGCGGGGACCAGGGACCCTCCAGGGTGGCCACGTGTCCCCTGACACTTTGGTGTCCCCTGCCACAATGTCCCTGATGTCCCCGATGTCCCCAATGTCCCCAATCCCCCCAATGTCCCCGATGTCCCCAATGTCCCCAATCCCCCCGATGTCCCCAATGTCACCAAATGTCACCTGGGCGATGCTCAGCGTGTCCTGGTCACCTCCTGGGCCTGCAGAGCCGCCTCTGCCTGTGGTGTCCCCATTGTCCCATTGTCCCCAATGTCCCCAAACCCCCACAATGTCTCCAATGTCCCCAATGTCCCCAATCCCCCCGATGTCCCCAGATGTCACCTGGGTGATGCTCAGCGTGTCCTGGTCACCTCCTGGGCCTGCAGAGCCACCTGTGCCCCCATTGTCCCAATGTCCCCAATGTCCCAATGTCTCCAATGTTTCCATTCCCCTGGACACCCCCAATCCCCCTGATGTCCCCGATGTCCCCGATGTCCCCAAATGTCACCTGGGTGATGGTCAGCGTGGTCCTGTTGACCTGCTGGGCCTGCAGGGCCGCCTGGGCTCTGGCTTTGACCACGTGGGAGCAGAGCAGCGCGCCCAGGTAACCGAAATCGCCGCGGTAGCACTCGGGGCTGTCGGGGGGCGGCCGCGCCTTGGCCAGCACCGGGGCACAGTGCTTCTGTGGGGACATTGGGGACATTGGGGACATCAGAGTGACATTGGGGACATCACTGGGGACATCAGAGTGACACCAGGGACAGCACCGGGGCACAGTGCTTCTGTGGGGACACCAAAGTGACATTGGGGACATTGGGGACATCATTGGGGACATTGGGGACATTGAGGACATCATTGGGGATATCAGAGTGACATTGGGGACATCATTTGGCACATCAAAGTGACATTGGGGACATCATTGGGGATATCAGAGTGACATTGGGGACATCAGAGTAACACTGGGGACATTGGGGATATCATTGGGGACATCAGAGTGACATTGGGGACATCATTGGGGACATCAAAGTGACATTGCGGACATTGGGGATATCAGTGGAGACAACAAAGTGACATTGGGGACATTGGGGACATCATTGGGGATATCAAAGTGACATTGGGGACATCAGAGTGACAGTGGGGACATTGGGGACATCACTGGGGACATCAAAGTGACATTGGGGACATCATTTGGGACATCAAAGTGACATTGGGGACATCAGAGTGACATTGGGGACATTGGGGACATCACTGGGGACATCAAAGTGACATTGGGGACATTGGGGATATCATTGGGGACATCAAAGTGACATTGGGGACATCACTGGGGACATGAGAGTGATGTTGGGGACATCAGAGTGACATTGGGGACATCAGAGGGACACCAGGCAGAGCCCCAGCAGGGCCAGCACGGGGGCACAGTGCTTCTGTGGGGACACCAAAGTGACATTGGGGACATTGGGGACATCAGAGTGATGTTGGGGACATCATTGGGGACATCATTGGGGACATAAGAGTGACATTGGGGACATCAAAGTGACACTGGAGACATCATTGGGGACATCAGAGTGATGTTGGAGACATCAGAGTGACATTGGGGACATCATTGGGGACATCAGAGTGACATTAGGGACATTGGGGATATCATTGGGGACGTCAAAGTGACATTGGGGACATCATTGGGGACGTCAAAGTGACATTGGGGACATCATTGGGGACATCATTGGGGACATAAGAGTGACATTGGGGACATCAAAGTGACAATGGAGACATCATTGGGGACATCAGAGTGATGTTGGAGACATCAGAGTGACATTGGGGACATCATTGGGGACATCAAAGTGACATTGGGGACATTGGGGACATCATTGGGGACATCAAAGTGACATTGGGGACATTGAGAACATCACTGGGGACATCAGAGTGACACTGGGGACATCAGAGTGACACTGGGGACAGTCCCAGCAGGGCCAGGACTGGGGCACAGTGCTGCTGTGGGGACATTGGGGACATTGGGGACATCACTGGGGACATCAAAGTGACATTGGGGACATCATTGGGGACATCAAAGTGACATTGGGGACATCAGAGTGGCACCAGGGACAGTCCCAGCAGGGCCAGAACCGGGGCACAGTGCTGCTGTGGGGACATTGGGGACATCAAAGTGACATTGGGGACATCATTGGGGACATCATTGGGGACATCAGAGTGACATTAGGGACATTGGGGATATCACTGGGGACATCAAAGTGACATTGGGGACATTGGGATGATTGGGGACACTGTTTGTCCCCCATGTCCCCCATGTCCCCAACCCCCCAATGTCCCTGGTGTTCCTTGGCTGTCCCCAATCCCCCCAATGTCCCCAATGTCCCCAATGTCCCCAGTGTCCCCAAGGTGTCCCCAGTGTCCCCAATGTCCCCAACCCCCCCAATCCCCCCAGTGTCCCCAATGTCCCCAAGGTGTCCCCAATCCAACCAATGTCCCCAATGTCCCCAATCCCCCCTGTGTCCCCAATGTCCCCAATGTCCCCAATGTCCCCAATGTCCCCAACGTCCCCAATATCCCCAATGTCCCCAATGTCCCCCAATGTCCCCAATGTCCCCAATCCCCCCAATGCCCCCTCAGTGTCCCCAATGTCCCCAATGTCCCCAATGTCCCCAATGTCCCCAATGTCCCCAATGTCCCCAAATGTCCCAAATGTCCCCAATGTCCCCAATGTCCCCAATGTCCCCAATGTCCCCAATGTCCCCAAGGTGTCCCCAATGTCCCCAATGTCCCCAACCCCTCAATGTCCCCAATGTCCCCTCAGTGTCCCCAACGTGTCCCCAATGTCCCCAAGGCGTTCCCAGTGTCCCCAATGTCCCCCCAATGCCCCCAATGTCCCCAATGTCCCCAATGTCCCCTGGCTGTCCCCAATGTCCCCAGTACCCCCAATGTCCCCAATGTCCCCTCAGTGTCCCCAATGTCCCCCATGTCCCCAATGTCCCCAGTCTCACCAGCAGCAGGCTCTGGACGTGGTCGGCCCCGATGCGGTCGATGGTGCTCACCACGGGCCCTTCCAGAATGTTCCGCACGCGCTCCCCCTCGGCCGGGAGCCGCGGCAGGATCAGGGTCTTGATCACCTGGGGACATTGGGGACATTGGGGACATTGGGGACATTGGGACACTTGGGGACATTGGGGACATTGGGGACATTGGGGACATTGGGGACATTGGGGACATTGGGGACATCGGGGACATTGGGGACATTGGGGACATTGGGGACATTGGGGACACTGAGGGGACATTGGGGACATTGGGGGGACATTGGGGACAATGGGGACACTGGGGACATTTGGGGACAGCGGGGGCAGTGGGGACATTGGGGACAGTGGGGGCAGTGGGGACATTGAGAACATTTGGGGACATTGGGGACATTTGGGGACATTGGGGGGATTGGGGACATTGGGGACATGGGGACATTTGGGGACATTGGGGACATTGGGGACAGTGGGGGGATTGGGGACATTGGGGACATTGGGGACATTGGGGATATTGGGGACATTGGGGACAGTGGGGGGATTGGGGACATTGGGGACATTGGGGACATTGGGGGGATTGGGGACATTGGGGACATTGGGGACATTGGGGACATTGGGGACATTGGGGACACCTTGGGGACATTGGGGGGTTGGGGACATTGGGAACACCTTGGGGACATTGGGGACATTGGGGACATTGGGGACATTGGGGGCATGGGGACATTGGGGGGACATTTGGGACATTTGGGACACCTTGGGGACATTGGGGGAGTTGGGGACATCGGGGGGACATTGGGGACATTGGGGACATTGGGGGGTTGGGGACATTGGGGACAGTGGGGACATTTGGGACATTGGGGACATTGGGGACATCGGGGACATTGGGGGGACATTGGGGACATAACACAGGTGACACAGGTGACAGGAAGGACTTGGCAGTGACACAAAGGTGTCCCCAGGTGTCCCCAGGTGTGTCACAGGTGTCCCCAAGATGTCCCCAGGTGTGTCCCAGGTGTCCCCAGGTGTGTCACAGCTGTCCCCAGCTGTCCCCAGCTGTGTCCCAGGTGTCCCCAAGTGTCCCCAAGTGTCCCCAAGGTGTCCCCAGGTGTCCCCAGGTGTCCCCAGGTGTCCCCAGGTGTCCCCAGGTGTGTCCCAGGTGTCCCCAAGGTGTCCCCAGGTGTCCCCAAGGTGTCCCCAGGTGTCCCCAGGTGTGTCCCAGGTGTCCCCAGGTGTGTCCCCAGGTGTCCCCAGGTGTCCCCAAGATGTCCCAAGGTGTCCCCAAGATGTCCCCAGGTGTCCCCAGGTGTCCCCAGGTGTCCCCAAGTGTCCCCAAGATGTCCCCAGCTGTGTCCCAGCTGTCCTCAGGTGTCCCCAAGGTGTCCCCAGGTGTCCCCAGGTGTGTCCCAGGTGTCCCCAGGTGTCCCCAGGTGTCCCAAGATGTGTCCCAGGTGTCCCCAAGATGTCCCCAGGTGTGTCCCCAGGTGTCCCCAGGTGTCCCCAAGGTGTCCCCAGGTGTGTCCCCAGGTGTCCCCAGGTGTGTCCCAGGTGTCCCCAGGTGTGTCCCAGGTGTCTCCAGGTGTCCCCAGGTGTGTCCCAGGTGTCCCCAAGATGTCCCCAAGTGTCCCCAGGTGTGTCCCAGGTGTCCCCAAGATGTCCCCAGGTGTCCCCAGGTGTCCCCAGATGTCCCCAGGTGTCCCCAGGTGTGTCCCAAGTGTCCCGAGGTGTGTCCCAGGTGTCCCCAGGTGTCCCCAAGATGTCCCCAGGTGTCCCCAGGTGTGTCCCCAGGTGTCCCCAGGTGTCCCCAGGTGTCCCCGGTGTCACTCACGTCGTGGCCCAGCTCGGCCAGCCCCGCGATGGATCCGTAGCGCGTTGTCCAGGGGGTCTTGTCATCCACCCAGCTCTGGGGACAGGGAGAGACCCTAAATCCTGATCCTGACCCCATAAACCCCATAAAAACCCCAAAAATCCCATAAAAATCCCATAAAAACCCCATAAATCCCAAAAATCAGACCTTGGTGAAGGTTTTGGTGATGCGGGACTGGATGTTGTTGGTGGTGGTGCTGAAGTTCTTGCACACCTGGGCCCATCAGGACCCCACAAATCCCATAAAATCCCATTCCAAATCCCATAAAAACCCCATAAATCCCATAAAATCCCATAAAAACCCCATAAATCCCATAAAATCCCATAAAAACCCCATAAATCCCATAAAAACCCCATAAATCCCCCAAATCAAACCTTGGTGAAGGTTTTGGTGATGCGGGACTGGATGTTGTTGGTGGTGGTGCTGAAGTTCCTGCACACCTGGGCCCATCAGGACCCCATAAAATCCCATAAAAACCCCATAAAAACCCCATAAATCCCATAAAAATCCCATAAAAACCCCATAAATCCCCCAAATCAGACCTTGGTGAAGGTTTTGGTGATGCGGGACTGGATGTTGTTGGTGGTGGTGCTGAAGTTCTTGCACACCTGGGCCCACCAGGACCCCACAAATCCCATAAATCCCATTCCAAACCCCATAAAAACCCCATAAACCCCATAAAAACCCCATAAATCCCATAAAAACCCCATAAATCCCCCAAACCAGACCTTGGTGAAGGTTTTGGTGATGCGGGACTGGATGTTGTTGGTGGTGGTGCTGAAGTTCTTGCACACCTGGGCCACCAGGACTTCACACCCCAAATCCCCGTTCCTGACCCCATAAATCCCATAAAAACCCCATAAATCCCATAAAAACCCCAAAAATCCCATAAAATTCCATAAATCCCAAAAAAACCCCATAAATCAGACCTTGGTGAAGGTTTTGGTGATGCGGGACTGGATGTTGTTGGTGGTGGTGCTGAAGTTCTTGCACACCTGGGCCCATCAGGACCCCACAAATCCCATAAAATCCCATTCCCAACCCCATAAATCCCATAAAACCCCATAAATCCCATAAAAACCCATAAAAACCCCATAAATCCCATAAAAACCCCATAAAAACCCCATAAATCTCATAAATCCCCCAAACCAGACCTTGGTGAAGGTTTTGGTGGTGCTGAAGTTCTTGCACACCTGGGTCCATCAGGACCCCATAAATCCCATTCCAAATCCCATAAATCCCATAAAAACCCCATAAAAACCCCATAAATCCCATAAAAACCCCATAAATCCCATAAATCAGACCTTGGTGAAGGTTTTGGTGGTGCTGAAGTTCTTGCACACCTGGGCCCACCAGGACCCCACAAATCCCATAAAATCCCATTCCCAACCCCATAAAAACCCCATAAATCCCATAAAAACCCCATAAATCCCATAAAAACCCCATAAATCCCCCAAATCAGACCTTGGTGAAGGTTTTGGTGATGCGGGACTGGATGTTGTTGGTGGTGGTGCTGAAGTTCTTGCACACCTGAGACCATCAGAACTCCACACCCCAAATCCCCGTTCCTGACCCCATAAATCCCATAAAATCCCATAAAATCCCATAAAATCCCCATAAATCCCACAAATCAGACCTTGGTGAAGGTTTTGGTGGTGCTGAAGTTCTTGCACACCTGGGCCCACCAGGACCCCACAAATCCCATAAAATCCCATTCCAAACCCCATAAAAACCCCATAAATCCCATAAAAACCCCACAAATCCCCCAAATCAGACCTTGGTGAAGGTTTTGGTGATGCGGGACTGGATGTTGTTGGTGGTGGTGCTGAAGTTCTTGCACACCTGGGCCACCAGGACTCCACACCCCAAATTCCCATTCCTGACCCCATAAACCCCATAAAAACCCCATAAATTCCATAAAAACCCCATAAATCCCATAAAAACCCCATAAATCCCCCAAATCAAACCTTGGTGAAGGTTTTGGTGATGCGGGACTGGATGTTGTTGGTGGTGGTGCTGAAGTTCTTGCACACCTGGGCCACCAGGCGCGCGGCGAAGTCCCGCAGTGCCCAGTGGTTGTCCACGTCCGGCCGCAGGCAGAGCTGGCGGCTGACGATGCACGTCATCACCGCCGGGATCAGCTCATGCAGCTGCGGACGGTGGGGACACTTGGGGACACTTGGGGACACTTGGGGACATGGTGGGGACAGCAGGGAGATGTTTGGGGCGGGTTTGGGATGGGTTTGGGGACATCAGGGAGATGTTTGGGATGGGTTTGGGACAGGTTTGGGACACTTGGGGACATCAGGGAGATGTTTGGGGCAGGTTTGGGGCAGGTTTGGGACACTTTGGGGACAGTTGGGAGATGTTTGGGACACTTGGGGACACGGTAGGGACAGCGGGGAGATGTTTGGGACAGGTTTGGGACAGGTTTGGGACAGGTTTGGGACACTTGGGGACAGGTCTGGGATGCTTGGGGACACTTTGGGGACATCAGGGAGATATTTGGGACAGGTTTGGGGACACTTGGGGACAAGTTTGGGACATTTGGGACACATTTAGGACACTTGGGGACACCTTGGGGACATTGAGGAGATATTTGGGACAGGTTTGGGACAGGTTTGGGACACTTTGGGGACTTTTGAGGACACATTTGGGACACACTGGGACACGTGGTGGGGACACAGGTGACACCCAGGTGACAGGAGGTGACACACAGGTGACACAGGTGACACAGGTGACACAGGAGGTGACACAGGTGACACAGGTGACACAGGTGACACAGAGGTGACACAGGTGACACAGGTGACACAGGGAGGTGACACAGGTGACACAGGTGACACAGAGGTGACACAGGTGACACACAGGTGACACAGGTGACACAGGGAGGTGACACAGGTGACACAGGTAACACAGGGAGGTGACACAGGTGACACAGGGAGGTGACACAGGTGACACAGGGAGGTGACACACAGGTGACCCAGGTGACACAGGTGACACAGGGAGGTGACACAGGGAGGTGACACAGGAGGTGACACAGGTGACACACAGGTGACACAGGTGACACAGGTGACACAGGTGACACAGGTGACACAGGTGACGTCACTCACGTATTTCTCCAGGTACAGGGTGGGGTTGTCCATCAGGGACAGGTGAGGACAGGAGGTGACACAGGTGACACAGGGAGGTTTCGGGCAGTGACACAGGTGACACAGGTGACACAGGGAGGTGGCACAGGTGACACACAGGTGACACAGGAGGTGACACAGGTGACACCACTCACGTATTTCTCCAGGTACAGGGTGGGGTTGTCCATCAGGGACAGGTGAGGACAGGAGGTGACACAGGTGACACAGGAGGTGACACAGGTGACACAGGTGACACAGGTGACACAGGTGACACAGGGAGGTTTTGGGCAGTGACAGGAGGTCACACAGGTGACACAGGTGACACAGGTGACACAGGTGACACACAGGTGACACAGGTGACACAGGTGACACCACTCACGTATTTCTCCAGGTACAGGGTGGGGTTGTCCATCAGGGACAGGTGACACAGGTGACACAGGGAGGTGACACAGGTGACACAGGGAGGTTTTGGGCAGTGACAGGAGGTCACACAGGTGACACAGGTGACACAGGTGACACAGGGAGGTTTCGGGAGGTGACACAGGTGACACAGGTGACACAGGGAGGTGACACAGGTGACACAGGTGACACAGGTGACACAGGAGGTGACAGAGGTGACACAGGAGGTGACACAGGTGACACAGGTGACACAGGGAGGTGACACAGGTGACACAGGTGACACAGGTGACACAGGTGACACAGGGAGGTTTTGGGCAGTGACAGGAGGTCACACAGGTGACACAGAGGTGACACAGGTGACACAGAGGTGACACAGGTGACACAGGTGACGCCACTCACGTATTTCTCCAGGTACAGGGTGGGGTTGTCCATCAGGGCCTTCACCATCCTCATCAGGTAGATGAGCAGCGCCAGATTGTTCTGCACCACGTTCACCCGCACCTGGGGACAGCGGGGACACCTTGGGGACATTTGGGGACATCGGGGACATTGGGGACATCGGGGACATCGGGGACATTGGGGACATTGGGGACACTGGGGGGACACCGGGGACATTGGGGACATTGGGGACATTTGGGGACATTTGGGGACATTTGGGGACATTGGGAGGTTTGGGGACATTGGGGACATTGGGGAGAATGGGAAGATTTGGGAAATTTGGGGACATTTGGGGACATTGGGGACATTGGGGACATTGGGGGGATTGGGGACATTGGGGACATTGGGGACATCCCTGGGGACACTGGGGACATTGGGGGGACATTGGGGACATTGGGGACATTGGGGACATTGGGGACACTGGGGACATTGGGGGGACATTAGGGACATTGGGGACATTGGGGACATTTGGGGACATTGGGGACATTGGGGACATTGGGGACACTGGGGACGTTGAGGGGTTGGGGACAGTGGGGACATTTGGGGACATTTGGGGGATTGGGGACAGTGGAGTGACACTGGGGACATTGGGGACATTGGGGACATTGGGGACAGTGGGGACAGTGGGGACATTTGGGGACATTGGGGTCATGGGGGGATTGCAGACATTGGGGACATTGGGGGGGTTTGGGGACATTGGGGACAGTGGGAAGATTTGGGACATTGGGGACATTGGGGACATTGGGGGATTGGGGACATTGGGGACAGTGCGGACATTTTGGGACATTCGGGGACATTTGGAGACATTGGGACACTGGGGACACTGGGGACATTGGGGACATTGGGGACATTGGGGGGATTGGGGACATCGGGGACATTTGGGACATTGGGGGACACGGGGGACATTGGGGACACTGGGGACATTGGGGACATTGGGGACACCAGGGGATTGGGGACACTGGGGACACTGGGGACATCAGGGGGACATTGGGGACACCTCTGGGACATTAGGGGGACATTGGGGACATTGGGGACATTGGGGACATTGGGGACATCCCCAGGGCTCTGGGGCCTTTCCCAGGATTTTGGGGCAGGATTTTGGGGTGAATTCTGTGGATTTCGGGGCGAATTCCGGGCAGGATTTTGGGGTGAATTCCGGGAATTTGGGGGTGAATTTGGGGCAGGATTTTGGGGTGAATTGCGGGGATTTCGGGGCAGGATTTTGGGGTGAATTGCGGGCAATTCAGGGCAGGATTTTGGGGTGAATTGTGGGGATTTCGGGGCAGGATTTTGGGGTGAATTCCAGGGATTTTGGGGCAGGATTTTGGGGTGAATTGTGGGGATTTCGGGGCAGGATTTTGGGGTGAATTCCAGGGATTTTGGGGCAGGATTTTGGGGTAAATTGCGGGGATTTTGGGGCAGGATTTTGGGGTGAATTGGGGGGATTTCGGGGCAGGATTTTGGGGCGAATTCCGGAGATTTCGGGGCAGGATTTTGGGGTGAATTGAGGGGATTTTGGGGTGAATTGCGGGGATTTCAGGGCAGGATTTGGGGTGAATTGTGGGGATTTTGGGGCAGGATTTTGGGTTGAATTCCAGGGATTTTGGGGCAGGATTTTGGGGTAAATTCCGGGGATTTTGGGGTGAATTCCGGGGATTTTGGGGCAGGATTTTGGGGTGAATTCCAGGCAGGATTTTGGGGTGAATTGTGGGGATTTCGGGGCAGGATTTGGGGTGAATTCCGGGGATTTTGGGGCAGGATTTTGGGGTGAATTGTGGGGATTTGGGGGTGAATTCTGGGCAAGATTTTGGGGCGAATTCTGGGGATTTCAGGGCAGGATTTTGGGGTGAATTGTGGGGATTTCGGGGCAGGATTTTGCAGGAAATTCCGGGGATTTTGGGACAGGATTTTGGGGTGAATTCCAGGCAGGATTTTGGGGTGAATTTCCGGGATTTCGGGGCAGGATTTTGGGGCGAATTCCAGGGATTTCAGGGCAGGATTTTGGGGTGAATTTCAGGGATTTCAGGGCAGGATTTTGGGGTGAATTCTGGGGATTTTGGGTCTCTCACCCCCTCGGAGATGAAGGTGCTGAAGCGCGGCAGCATCTGGTACAGCCCCGGGTCGGTGGCGATGCTCTGCAGCGCCTCCTGCAGGAAACGGGACAGATGGGGACATCTGGGGACATTTGGGGACATTTGGGGACATTTGGGACATTTGGGGACATTTTGGGGACATTTGGGGACACATTTGGGACATTTTGGGGACATTTAGGGACATTTGGGGACATTAGGAACACTCTGGGGACATTTTGGGGACATTTTGGGGATATTTTGGGGACATTTTGGGACATTTGGGGACAATTTGGGGACATTTTAGGGAGATTTTGGGACACTTTGGGGACACTGGGGACATTTGGGGACCATTTTGGGGACATTTTGGGACTTTGGGGACACTTTGGTGACATTTTGGGGACTTTTGGGGACATTTTGGGGGGTTTGGGGACAATTTGGGGACATTTGGGGAGATTTTGGGACACTTTAAGACATTTTGGGGACATTGGGGACATTTGGGGAAATTTTAGGGAGATTTTGGGACATTTGGGGACCTTTTTTGGGACATTTAGGGACCATTTTGGGACATTTTGGGACTTTGGGGACACTTTAGTGACATTTTGGGGACACTTTGGGGAGATTTGGGGACATCTTTGGTGACATTTAAGGACATTTGGGGACATTAGTAACAGTCTGGGGACACTTTGGGGACATTTGGGGACACTTGGGGAGATTTTGGGATATTTGGGGACACCTTTGGGGACATTAGGGGACATTTGGAGATATTTTGGGACAATTCGGGGACATTTGGGGATATTTTGGGAAAATTTGGGGACATTTTGGGACTTTGGGGACATTTTGGGACTTTGGGGACACTTTGGTGACATTTTGGGGACATTTTGGGGACATTTTGGGACTTTGGGGACATTTGGGGACATTTTGGGGAGATTTTGGGACTTTGGGGACATTTGGGGAGATTTGGGGACAATTTGGGGACTTTTTGGGACATTTGGGGACAATTGGGGACATTTGGGGACATTTTGGGACACTGGGGAGATTTGGGGAGATCTTTAGTGACATTTAGGGACATTTGGGGACATTAGGAACACTCTGGGGACACTTTGGGGACATTTGGGACATTTTGGGGACATTTGGGGACATTTTAGGGAGATTTTGGGACTTTCTGGGGACATTTAGGGACACATTTGGGACATTTTTGGGACATTATGGGACATTTGGGGACTTTTTGGGGACACATTTGGGACACTTTTGGGACATTTTGGGGACATTTTGGGGACATTTTGGTGACATTTCGTAACACCTTTGGGGACATTTGAGGATATTTTGGGACACTTTGGGGAGATTTTGGGACATTTTGGGGACATTTTAGGGAGATTTTAATGGGATTTTTATGGGTGTTTTTTGTGTTTTTATGGGGTTTTTATGGGGTTTTTGTGGGATTTTTGCGGGGTTTTTGGTCCCTGGACTCTGTATGATTTTGGGGTGATTTTGGGGTGATTTTGGGGTGATTTTGGGGTGATTTTGGGGTGATTTTGGGGTGACTCACGGCCCGTTTGGCCTCGCAGGAGCCCACGCAGGCCTCGGTGATCTCCTTGTAGGGGCCGATTTTGGGGGTTTTTATGGGATTTTAATGGGATTTTTGTGGGATTTTAATGGGATTCTTGTGGGATTTTAATGGGGTTTTTGTGTGGTTTTTATGGTGTTTTTATGGGGATTTTATGGGATTTTTATGAGGTTTTTATGGGGTTGTTATGGGATTTTATGGGATTTTTATGGGTGTTTTTTGTGTTTTTATGGGGTTTTTATGGGGTTTTTATGAGATTTTTGTGGGTTTTTGTGGGATTTTTGTAGGATTTTTATGGGTTTTTATGGGGTTTATATGGGATTTGTATGGGGTTTTTTTGGGGATTTTATAGGATTTTTATGGTTTTTTACGGGATTTTTATGGGGTTTATATGGGATTTTTATGGTATTTTTATGGGTTTTTTTTGGGGATTTTATGGGATTTTTATGGTGTTTTTATGGGGTTTTTATGGGATTTTTGTGGGGTTTTTATGGAGTTTTTATGGGATTTTTCGGGGATTTTTGTGGGATTTTTGCGGGGTTTTTTATGGGATTTTGGGTCCCTGGACTGTGCAGGATTTTGGGGTGATTTTGGGGTGATTTTGGGGTGACTCACGGCCCGTTTGGCCTCGCAGGAGCCCACGCAGGCCTCGGTGATCTCCTTGTAGGGGCCGATTTGGGGCCAATTTAATCGGATTTTTATGGGATTTTTATGGGGTTTTTGCAGGATTTTGAGGTCCCTGGACTCTGTAGGATTTTGGGGTGATTTTGGGGTGATTTTGGGGTGATTTTGGGGTGACTCACGGCCCGTTTGGCCTCGCAGGAGCCCACGCAGGCCTCGGTGATCTCCTTGTAGTAGAGCTGCTGCTCCACCGAGAGCTCGTGGACGCTGCGCGGCTTCAGCCGCAGCGGGGGCGCCTCCAGCAGCGGTGGCTTCTTCTCCTTCCCTTTTGGGGCACCCCAAAATGTCAGAGAACCCCCCCAAAATCCCCCATGGCACCCCAAAATCACACTGACCCCCCTGACCCCGCTGATCCCCCAAAAACGGCTCCAAAATCGCAAATTTCAACCCCAAATCCCGAAGTAATGGGGGATTATTTTTTTTTCTCTTTTTTGGGGGCACCCCAAAATTTCAGAGAACCCCCCCAAAATCCCCCATGGCACCCCAAAATTACACTGACCCCCCCTGACCCCGCTGATCCCCCAAAAACGGCTCCAAAATCGCGAATTTCAACCCCAAATCTCAAAGTAATGGGGGATTATTTTTTTTCTCTTTTTTGGGGGATCCCAAAATATCAGGGGATCGCCCCAAAATCACACTGATCCCCCCATGGCATCCCAAAATTCCCCCTGAAACTCTCCCAAACCACCCAAAATCCCCCCAAAAATCACCTTAACCATCTTAACTCCCTCTTAAACTGCCCCAAATCCCCCCAAAACTCTCGAATCCCCCCAAATTTCCCTTTAAACCCCCCAAACCCCCTAAAATCACCCCAAAATCAGCTTTAAACCACCCCAAATCCCCCCAAATTCCCCTTTAACTGCCCCAAACCCCCTAAAATCCCCCCAAAATCCACCTTTAAACCCCCAAATCCCCCAAAACTCTCTAATCCCCCCCAAATCCCCCTTTAACCGCCCCAAACCCCCTAAAATCCTCCCAAAATCCCCCTTTAAACCACCCCAAATCCCCCCAAAATCCCCCCAAATTCCCCTTTAACTGCACCAAACTCCCCCAAAACTCCATAACCTCCCAAAATCACCCTTAAACCACCCCAAAAGCCCCAAATCCCCCCCAAATTCCCCTTTAACCCCCCCAAACCCCCTAAAATCCTCCCAAAATCACCCTTTAACCACCCCAAATCCCCCCAGAATTCCCCTTTAACCCCCCAAATTCCCCCAAAATCCCCATTTAATCCTCCAAATCCCCCCAAAATTCCCCTTTAACCACTCAAATCCCCCTTTAATCCCCCAAAATTCCCATTTCACCCCCAAAATTCCCCTCAAATCTCCCTTTAACTACCCCAAATCCCCCCAAAACCCCCAAATTCCCCTGAAAAATCACCCAAAATTCCACTTAAACCACCCCAAAGCCCCCAAAATCCCTCCCAAAATTCTCCTTTAACCCCCCAAACACCCCCAAATCCCCCTAATACCCCAAAAATCCCCCCAAAATCCCCCTTGAACACCCCCAAACCCCCCCAAAATCCCTCAAATCCCCCTTTAACCCCCCCAACCCCCCCTTTAACCCCCCAAAAAAACCCTTTAACCCCCCAAATCCTCCTTGAACCCCCCCAAAAAAAACCCAAATCCCCCTTTAACCCCCAAAAAAACCCCAAAATCCCACTTTAACCCCCCCAACCCCCGCTTTAACCCCCCAAAAAAAACCTTTAACCCCCCAAATCCCCCTTGAACCCCCCCCAAACCCCCCAAAATCCCCCTTGAACACCCCCAAACCCCCCAAAATCCCCCTTGAACACCCCCAAACCCCCCAAAATCCCACTTGAACCCCCCTAAAAAACCCCAAAATCCCCCTTTAACCCCCCAAACCCCCCACATCCCCCTTTAACCCCCCAAAAAAACCCCAAAATCCCCCTTAACACCCCAAATCCCCCCACAATCCTCTTTAACACCCCAAACCCCCCAAAATTCCCCTTTAACCCCCCCAAAAAAACCCAAAATCCCCCTTAAGACCACCAAAGCCACCCCAAATCCCCCTTTAACTCCCAAAAAAACCCCCAAAATCCCCCTTGAACACCCCCAAACACCCCAAATAACCCCCAAATCCCCCTGTAATCCCCCAAAAAACCCCAAAATCCCCCCAAACCCCCCCAGCCCCCCCTTTAACCCCCAAAACCCCCTTTAACCCCCCCAAAAAAAACCCAAAATCCCTCTGTAACCCCCCAAAAAAACCCCAAAATCCCCCTTGAACCCCCCCAGCCCCCCCATTCCCACCTTTGCCGTCGCCCCCGGCCCCCCCGGGCCCTTTGGATTTGGGGGTCCCCTCCTCCTCCTGGCCGGGCTTGGCCGATTTCAGGGGTTCGGTGGCCTCGGCCTTCTGCTGCTCCTTGGGGGCTGGGGAGGGGGTCCCCAAAAAATGAGCCCAGAAAAAGGGTCCCCAAAACCTCCCCGGGGGTCCCCAAAGTGGGATTTGGGGAATTTTGGGGGGTTTGGAGGAGGATTTTGGGGGGTTAAAGGGGGATTTGGGGAGGATTTTGGGGATTTGGGGGGGATTTGGGGAGGTTAAAGGGGGATTTGGGGATTTGGGGAGGTTAAATGGGGATTTTGGGGGGTTTAGGGGGAGTAAAGCGAGATTTTGGGGGGTTTTGGGGGTATTTTGGGGGGTTAAAAGGGGATTTTGGGGGGTTTTGGGGGGATTTGGGGGGGTTAAAGGGGGATTTGGGGGGTTTTTATGGGGTTAAAGGGGATTTGAGGTGGATTTGGGGGATTTTGGGGGGGTTAAAGGGGGATTTTGGGGGGTTAAAGGGGGATTTGGGGAGGATTTGGGGGATTTTGGGGGGTTTGGGGGGGTTAAAGGGGGATTTGGGGGGTTTTTATGGGGTTAAAGGGGATTTGGGGTGGATTTGGGGGGTTTGGGGGGTTAAAGGGGGATTTTGTGGGGTTTTGGGGGGATTGGGGGGGTTAATGGGGGATTTTGGGGAGGTTAAAGGGGGATTTGGGGTGGATTTGGGGGATTTTGGGGGGTTTGGGGGGGTTAAAGGGGGATTTTGGGGGGGTTAAATGGGGATTTGGGGTGGATTTGGGGGTTTTTGGGGGGTTTGGGGGGGATTAATGGGGGATTTTGGGGGGGGTTTTCGGGGGTTAAAGGGGGATTTGGGGTGGATTTTGGGATTTTTGGGGGTTAAAGGGGGATTTTGGGGGGTTAAAGGGGGATTTGGGGTGGATTTGGGGGGGGTTGGGGGGGGGTTAAAGGGGGATTTTGGGGGATTTTGAGGGGTTTGGGGGATTTTGGGGGGTTTAAGGGGGATTTTGGGGGGATTTTGGGGGTTTTTATGGGGTTAAAGGGGATTTGGGGTGGATTTGGGGGATTTTGGGGGGGTTAAAGGGGGATTTGGGGAGGATTTGAGGGATATTGGGGGTTAAAAGGGGATTTTGGGGGAGGTTTCGGGGGTTAAAGGGGATTTGGGGAATTTTGGGGGATTTTGGGGGGTTTGAGAGAGTTAAAGGGGGATTTGGGGGGGTTAAAGGGAGGCTGGGGAGGGGGGTCCCCAAAAAATGAGCCCAGAAAAAGGGCTCAGGGGTCCCCAAAACCTCCCCGGGGGTCCCCAATGTGGGATTTGGGGGATTTTGGGGGGTTAAAGGGGGATTTGGGGGGGTTTGGGGGGGTTAAAGGGGGGTTTGGGGTGGATTTGGGGGATTTTGGGGGGTTTGGAGGAGGATTTTGGGGGATTTTGGGTGGTTAAAGGGGGATTTGGGGTGGATTTGGGGGATTTTGGGGGGGTTAAAGGGGGATTTGGGGGATTTTGGGGGGGTTAAGGGGGGTTTGGGGGGGTTTGGGGGGT